TGATACTGACGGACGAGGGAGGTGGAAGAGGATGAGAAGGGTGCACGTTACTTTTTCACAAGTGACACTACATACGTCGTATATTGCAACACAGAAGTGAACATGTGCAATTGGAGAGTTGATGAGAACATAATTATGCTAAGTATGTGTAGGTGAGTTCAACAACAAAGAGAGAGAAAGCTCTAACTCATCATCAGTGGCGGGTCTTGTTGCGGGCTGGGTGACAGTCTCGGGACAGAATGAGAGAAAGGAGAGAGTGAGAGACACTGAATAGGTAGCAGAGAGCCTGTCAGGCTGTGAGCACACCAGCGCATCAGGAAACAGAACAGATTCTGTGAAAACGAAATTGAAACAAAGTTGTGAGCATCACCACTCACATAAGAAAAAAAGTCGACTTACTCAAACATGTAGGAATAAGTAAAGGTAAATCTCTTTCTTCATCTCCCTCTCCTCCTTCTCCATCTCTCTCCCGGGGGTGTCGCCGCAGGGGGCAGGTGACGTGGAGGAAGAGAGGGGCGGTGGGGAGGGTGGGTTCTCCGCGCGACGACTCCATGAAGTGAGGCTCGGAGGGTGAGAAGAGGGGAGAGAGGGCTGCGATGTCTGCGTCGTCACCTGTTGACCCTGACTCTTGGTCTGCAATCGATTACGATAATCAGCTTACACAAGTGTATGTTGAGAGAAAAAGAGAAAAATCCAAATCTTTTTTTTCCTGAGTCAAACTCTGGCATAGCAAACTGCGGAACTAGTGCACTAAGGAGCCATAACACCCAAACAAGAGCTGGTATGCAGAATAATAAAATTTGGAGGTGGCACAAACTTTGCACCACTGCAAAACTTGACAGTTGCTGTACAAAACGCTAAGGTATATGTTCCTAGTTCAAGTTCCATGATGGATTATGGCCATCCCTATACCGCACTGGTGATGGGCTACATGTTTCAAAGAACGAACACGTTTGATCAGAAATTAACCAGATTTCCATACCTGATTCTCCAGTTTGCCATGTAGTGTTCTCGGTGGTGAGGGACTGCTTCCTCTTGATGGTGGAGGCCTCACTCGACGAGGAGAGCACAGCTTCTCCATCTTCCTCTCCACCTCTCCTGAACTTCTTGGCTTTCCTCGGAGATTCTGCGTCGTCCCCTCGCAGCCAGAAGTACCCCGGGCAGTCGGGGACAGTCTCAAACCCCGCCTCGGAGAGATGGTCGAGAAAGACCCGCTGTGGCTCGCCCTCCCACTGAACGCAGTGCGGGACCTGTTCGAGAGTTTCTCCCTCTTCGTTGAACTCTTCGACGAGCTCCAGTCTGTACGAGGATGACCGTACTGGATCGGTAGAGCACGACGAAGCTTGTTGGATGAGTCGTGTGAGGGTCTCCGGCACAAATTGGAGGCGTTCTTCAGAAACACCCAATGTTGCAGCCCCATCGCTGGAAGCTTCGATTCTTTGACTAGTAGACGATGAGTTTCGGTCTTCTTGGCCGTCTGTAGAGACAGACGCAGTACTTTCATCAACCTCTGACTTGTCTCCAGAGTTTGAACCTTCCTTCCCAGTGTGTCCTCCTGCGCCAAGAGGAAGAGGAGAGAGGTAGGAAAGTCGGGAATGCCTACAGAGTGCCCCCATTAGGGGCGTACAGTCCAACGACACAGTAGTCCGGGCACAGACGTCAACCGCTGAATAAAACCCGGCGGGAGGGACAGGGTGTTTGTGGGTGAGGGTCGTGTGAATGGCGTGCAGGTAGGAGGAGAAGTGGAGTGCTCGTAGTTCCGATACGAGTTTTCCGAGGCTTTCGTTGGCCAAGGAAGAGTAGAGTCTTGCGAGTGGGTCGGGAGAGTTTCTTGACTGCATTGGTATCGATTGAGGCCTGCGGGCTTGGAATGGGCGTGGTAATGGGTGTGGCTAACGTGGAAAGAGCCTGTGTGGAGGAGGGAGTAGGGGAGTGGGAGAGAGCGAACGTCAGGTGCTGAAAGATATCGGGGAGAAGCGTGGGAGGAGTGGGCGTGGCAGGGTCAGGGTCCATGAGAATATCCTGGTCACAGTGCAGGAGAAGGAGAGGGAGAAAGAACACTTCAGAAGGCAAATCATCTTTCTCTTTTTCTTCTTCTCGTCTTTCCTCTTCCTTTCGTTCTCCCTCTCCTCCATCTTTTTCTTCCTCTCCTTCTTCCTCTATTTTGTTCCCCACATTGAAATTGGTTGCAGATCCTCTGACGAAGACGTCAGTAACCAAGAAAAAACAGACAGTGTTTTCTTCTTCGCTGGGGGTCATGGCTAGACATCGCCATCCCATGTCGCTCTTGTCTTCTCCCCCGATGTCACAGAGTTGGCAGAATTCTCTGAGGTTTTCAGAGGAAAGCAGTCGTTGGATAAGGGAGGAGGAAGAAGAGGGAGAGGAGGAGGAGGAGGGGGAGAGAGAGGAGGAAGGGTCGGCAGAGGAAGAGAGAGGAGTGTTTGAGAGCGGAACTGCAGTCGGGGCCAATTCTCTGAGTTTCTCAAAGAGTTGCTTCCAGAATAGGGTGTTGAGGGTGGAAGATTGAAGGGGCGAGGAGAGTCTTCTCTTCACTGTGGCTGTGTTTAGTTTGTGTGTATGTGTTATATAGGTGAAGGGTACGTTGAATAGGTAAAAAAACCCAAGATACATGACTAAACTATGTTGCATAAAAAAAATTTTAAAGCAACTTTTGTGTGTGATGGTCCATTTTACGCAACTTTGTGCATTGACCCATTCAAACCACAAATTAGTAAGGTATACAGTTCTTGGTGGCTTAGTTAGACAATCCTTCTCGTGAAAAGCCAAGGAATGCCCACAGCAGTCCTTGATGTGAATACACAGAGGTATTGATCGCTTGTATGGTAGGCCACTATTGAATAAGGCTTGAAAAGAAGCAAGCTAAGTCCATTCAGCTATAATAGCCAGTGAATAAGAGCTACTACATACGCAGACGGTGAGTAAGGGAATTGCACATATGCATGCTGCCCACTAGCAATGCATTTTTGGTGAGCGAGAATCCACGTAAGATTTTCAGTGGATTAATGCATGTATATTACGTACAGCATAAACTGTATTTATGAAAGAGGTGGAACGTCAGATAGTTATAATGATAGAGAAAAATCATGCAATTCAGACGACTAGGTAGACTTGCTATGTTCACAAATTAATAACCATCTTCCACACACTTCATCCTATTATGCGTACATGTCAGCCTATATAAACTCGTGATGCCAGAGAGAGAAGTTGTGGTATGCTCTGCAGATGAGGGCCAACAAGCCCGAAACAGCTGTCCATAGCTCCCCATCTTTTTTCTCTTGGCATCACATGGTTTTTTCTACATGTGTGTAGTTGACTTGTTTGCCTTGCCTTGCCTTTCTACCTCGTTACCAAGTTGTTGAGACATGCACACACTGTGTCAGAGATAGATCAAACCTTCGGGGAAGGCGTCCAGGGCAAACCCTATGACGCGACACTTGGGCAGAAGGCGAGAAACTTGGAAAGGGACGGGGACGGAACGAGGGACGGACGAGGAGAGAGAAGACCACGCCCCTTCTTTCACGTCCCCCTCCTCTTCCAGGGGTGCCCGGGGGAGGGCGTGGCAGCCCCGCCCACACATGTGGTGGAGATATATGAACGATGACATCGTCAGCATTAACTCCTTGTCTTTGGTGTGTATCTGTGGATAGTAACGTGTCCATCTCATGGTATGTAGTACGCTGACATAAATGCTGATCATAGTATTTAGATGGCATTAATCTAACAACTTACTATGTAGCGTGCACCTGCAATTAATGTACCCTTCATTAGTGACTCTAAGTGTTTAAGGCTGTATATTGTGTACTTACTATTGGCAGCATACACACCGTGTATTAAGTGTTCTAATGTACGTATGCACTTTGTGTATTGGAGCCAGGTATAGGTTTGAGTGCCTAAAAGTGGACGAGGGTGCAACCTTTCTCTTTCTCTTGCCCTCCTCCTGCAACCATTTAAAATCCGTTTCCACTCATCGATCACACACACACACATACACACAAATACGTGTGCACATGGTCCACTGCTGATGACGTGCAACGAATGTTTTCATTTCAGTTTGAAAGTGTTTCTAACAACAAGACCAGGTGTGCCAGGTACAAGACACCATAAAACGATAACAGTAGAGCAATGTACAGGTCCTTACCTCAGCAACCCCTGGGACTACCCAGCTCATTATTCCTCTACAACAACATTCTATGTTGAGTGATAGCACATAAATTCCCCAAGGTTTAAAGATTCCCCTAAACCTACCTACACACCAGGTATATGGACGTACAATACAATAATGTTATGGTGGGGATTTTCTGGCGTGCCATAGTAAGATAGAACTTATCTGGTTCCAGCTTCCTGAGGTTCCATGCTATAGTGTCCTAACCTTATCGGCAATTTCAGAGTGGGTTGAGCCTAGAATGTACTGGAGACCGGCGGGAACCTCTGTCACCGTTCCATACTGTGGCTCCACCCACAACTCGCAGGTCGGATGACCTCCGCCGACCCCTGCGACTGCAGAGGAAGAGGAGAAAGAGGCGGAGTTGTTGGTGGCGAGAGGGAAGATGATGTATTGGAGGAGCATGGGCAGGGAGTGGTGGGAGTGGGGCTGGGTCAGGTAGAGCTGGGCAGTGAGAGTGACAATCCCTGACTGGGCCCTAGCAATGTGGAATCCCTTCCCTCAGACGATGTCTGGGATTACGATGATGACGAGAGAGAGAGATGAATTACAGTCACACGACATAGGTGATGGGTCATGTGACTGTCACCTGAGTAGAGCGGTGAGGAGGGTGGGGAGGGAGTGAGGTACGATCCACTGCCAGGCGGTACCAGTGAGGTAGTCGTTCTGAACCAGTCTCTCTGTCTCCATTCCAGTCTGGGTTAGGGACATGGCAGTGGACTGGTATGGGGCCCCAGCTCCTCCATCGTACCTACACAGTAGTATGCAGACATGGATATTCATCGCAGTTAAATCCTGAAAACCTTTCTCTTACAGTGGCTACTGCTATCCCATGATGTTCTGCCCACTTTGTTATGTAATGTCACCACCACATCATCAGGTTTTCATAGCAATCAGGTGATTTGTACCCTCTTTGTTGGCTTAGTGCTTTATACAGACAGAAGTAAATGATTTTTACAGCTAAGCAATTATGTCTTCCAATTCTGGGGTCCAGCTCTAATTTCTACACCTTAGCTAATGTGGAGCCCTATCAACCTCTAGTAGTATGCGGAGATGCTAAACGCAAACCGTAAGGCAATATTCACCTAATCATGACCCTCTGGAGCTGCTTCTTCACAAGAGAGGCGCACGGTTTCGCCGCCTTCCCTCCCCTCGCGTTCCCAGAACCACGACTCCTCTTGGACGGCTGGACCCTCTCCACATTCAGCCCCAGCAGCGCCTCCTGTAGCTCTCTCACCGTCTCCACCTGCAGACTGTGCGGCGTGCCCTCAATGTGCCCGACGTGCAACACGATGCACGGGTGTTTCTGAGCCACTCGAACGAGGGAGAAATACAGGGGTGACCCGGTCGTCGGAAGAAAACGAATGAACGACTGGCTGTCTAGGAGAACAAAGGAGGACCAGGTTTTGAGGTAGTTGAATAGTTTGGAGGCTGCGATGCGGCACTGCACGGTGGCGAAGCGGTGGTTGGTGGAGGGAGAGAGGAGGTTGCGAGGGAGATAGGTGTCTTGGTGGAGGATGAGGATGATCTTGTCAGTGTGGAACCATCGGTACCACAGGTTGGTGTCTATCGTACAGAGTGGGGACCAGAAATTCACAAGAGCCGATTCCTTCTTTTTTCTACAACAAAAAATGAATAAGAATAGAGCTTCACAACAAAATTACTACAGACTCGCAAGCCACCAAAATTACAGTGAAACTCCTCTAATCTGGACACCAATTTAGAGAGGTGCTTTCATTTCGAGGGTGCTCTTAGACAGTTTCACTCTAGACATTTAAAAAATACTACAACTGAAAATTAAGAGATCGAGAAAGCAATAATTGATCAAAAAAGCTTACTTGTCGCCAGACGAAGAGAGGCTGACGGCAGGAACCTGGAGATGAAAGGTTTTGGGAATTCAGATCAGAACCAAAAGGAGGTGGACAAACCGGTTTTGACTGGTTTGGCGGGAGGTGGAACAGAGGCATTCCGTCCTGGATCTTTTGCGGGAGGGTGTGGTAGGTGGGCGTGGCCGAGAAGGACAGGAAGTGAGCCAGGAACGTGTCAGAATAAGACTGGCTGCAAGTAAGTTGCAGATTATATAAATATTGGAGTCGAGAATGTGCCTCAAAACATAGCCAATAAAAATACAGGTGAAATCTCATAACCATAATTATTGTAATGGGGCAAAAATGGTATGAACCTCTAACTGCCAATATTTCTAGTAGGGAAAATGACATTTTGGAGGGATTTATTGCTGAGAAGTGAATGATAGAATTTTTATACTTGGCGCCTCCGTGTAATATACAGAGCTGGCAAATAGTATTAGTCTAGCTTTTATTGCCAATTCGTCAAATCAGGACCAATCAATACTTCTTCCACATATGGACGCATCAGCTGTAGACACGTCACAGACCACAAAGGTCTGATCAAGTTCGCTCTAAGAATGCACACATCAAACCACAATTCCCATATTTGGTCAAACACCAAAGCTTATTTTGTTCTGATGTAAGCTAGTATTACAGTATACTGTATATATATAATACAACAAGCTTTTATGGTATGTAGCTATGTGCTAGCGATTCATTATGCCCTTCATACATACATCACATACATATACCACACATTGAAATGTGACTATATAAGTCGTTAAAGAATTCCAATCCGAATATATAGTCAATGAAATGGTGGAGTTATTAGCACACATGTACGTATGCTTATATAGCTCTGGAGGATATCAAATAACCCACTTGGGGATTGGGATGTGTATTGGTATTATTGGGTGCTGAGGGTTAAACTAAGGACCCTGCAATTTTAAGACTCGACTTACGATTTTAAGACTTGCTTGAACTTTCGTACAGCAGCGGCTCTGTAAATCAGTAGCAATTTTACAACACTCAACAAAGACAACACAAAGTCTTATGCAAAAATAGTGCTTTCAAGGGAGAAAATTTTAACAACCTTAAAAAAAGTTTTTCTAAAACTGACCTGTAGTAAGAGGTGATGGGTTCGTTGAGGTTGCAGTGGATGTCATGAACAAAGGAGTATGGGCCGTCGTAGGAGATGGTAGTGTGTAGAGCTGTGCTGGCTTCAGAGAGGGGCCACGGCTGAGGAGAGAGAGAGAGAGAGAGAGAGAGAGATGATTTCAAGTCTTCTTGAATAATAGCTTAAAAGACAAAGGAAAATTATGAATCAAAAAAGCTTGACTAATCAAAGGTTATTCACCGATTGAATTGTGTAGTAGATGTTGACGCTGGCCTGCCAGGGATAGTACATTGCCACCGCCACAGTTGAGTCTGTGGAAACATGGAGACATAGCGAGAAAGACATTCACACACAACTATAGCCAACACCCAGACTGTTTAGTTTACAGCGTGTCACAAAAGAAGGTGCTTTGTAATGCCCCAGACTCTCTCTCACAATGTAAGAAAAGCAGTTTCAGAGGTGGGTTGACTGTCAAATATCTAAGAATTTAACACCTGCTTTTTAATGGACTTCCTACCAGTGAGATTACACACCCTGCTCTCTGACAGTGGCTGATTTCAGGAAGAATCCGTCCCTCACTCGACAACCAATTACACTGGAAGAAGAAGAAAGAAACAAGTCACATCAGCGGGGAATTCAGAGCGCCAAACCACACCCACCAGAGTAGGGGGGCATGGATTGTGTTCTTGTCAAACTGCCGGTAGATTGTCGGAGAAAAGTGCTCCTCCTCTTCCTCGACCTGCCCCGCCCCCCAGGAGTCGTCGACCACGCCGCCACTCGCCGGGCGTGGGCCGTCTGTTGGTAGGACCACATAAGAACGGCCTCTTGGAGAACGTTGAGAGATCCTGTTGGGAGGGACTTCTTGGACACTTCCAACACCTGCAAAACAGAGCAAAGGTTCATACATCCCTAATGCCCACCTGAGCCTCGGAAATGGTTGTGTAATAATAGATAATAATAATACTCAGATGGAATAATAATACTCAAGAGATGGGGCAGAGACCTTGTGTGGTTGTATGACACATCCATTGCAAGCGAGGGACAGGAACTTGAGAGTCTCAGAGTCTGGCATGAGACCGAAGGCTGCAGACGGCTCCGAACGTCCTCCGACCTGTACATGGGATGTACATCTTACACACAAGATATACAGGATAACACCTCGGCCTCGTTTGCACCATACAAGGCTCTGACACGGCTGTCAATGCAAGATATGCAAGGTTTGCTTGCAACACAAGGTGTGAAAGTTGCACTAGCACAATGCTTTCACACAGTGCACATATGTATCCAATTGTGAAGCATTTCAAGTGTGAATGTGAAACAGACGGTCTGTGCTTCTCCATCCCCCTTACCTCACTGTCCATCCCCCTTACCTCACTGTCTTGTATAATATTATCCTGAATGACCCAACAGGAGATGTTGGCCCCTCTCATCTGGTTGACTGCATTGTGCATGCTACTGGGGGAGGAGAACCCCATCACACCATCTGTCAGTACCACTATACCTGTAACAGGAGATGGCATTCTGAACAGGAGCTTATAGCATTCTTCACTTGTGGTCAACCTGTCCACAGATTGCAACCACCAATTTGCTTTTCACAACCCCAACCCACATTGATTTGCAACTTCAACCAAACATTAAATTTTGATAGCCACAATCTGCATTGCCTTTCTAGCTAACCATTGATGTTGTGTCTACTGCAACCACATTATTTTCATCTGCTTAACATTAAACCAACAACTCTCTCAGGGAAGTTGCTTTACCAACTTCTGATATAGTCTATATACTGCAACCACATAGACCTAGAATCACCCGATCATAAACAAATATTAATTTTAGTGCTACAATAAACATAGCATGATGTCATATTTGGACTAGAGTGCCCACCTTTGAGGGCGTTTCTTGGTAGTAATTGGAGAGCAAGTGTACCAAACTTGATAAGTCCTTCCAAACTTGCTTCCCCCTCGTACCCCTTTTTCATTAAACACAGGAATATAGCAATCAGTCACTTTATGAATAGCATTCAACTTACACCTGAATCCTGTTCTTCGTGTTTACCTGCATAGTAAAACAAATTATATCGCTGTAAACGTTGTGCGCATGCGTGTAATTATTACCGCCCCCACGCGCAAGCGCACAATCTAATGTGTCAGGAGGACGGGAAACGGGGATGCACCTACCTCTTAGCTCGGCTCTCTCTCACCGAGAGCTGTTTTCATGGACTGAGGAATGACTGCTATGCCAGTTTGATAATTTGTTGAATGGCGCAAGGAAAGCACGGTGTAGTGAGGAGCATAAAGTGGAACCATCCGAGCCACCCTCACCCGTTGACCCACTCGGAAGTACTCGTTATCTACAGGGCCTACGACGGCAAGTGGAGGTGCGACGTCTGCGCCAGAGTATTCGACGGAAAGCGCGCCACTACTCCCGGCGGCAGATATAAAGAAGAAGACCCTGACAGCAGAACCTGCTACCATTGCCCGAAATGCAAATTTGACGTTTGTACTTCGTGTTTCAAGGGCCGTCTGCACACATTTCATCGCCACCGACTGAAGAAGGCCCGCACGACTCTTATCTACCGCGAATACGACGGGATGTGGCACTGCGACGCGTGCAAAGCTGTCCACAGCGAGCACACGGAGCAAATCTGCTACCACTGTGAAAGGTGTGAGGTGGACTTGTGCAGTACCTGCTTTGAGGGAAAGTGGGCGCACGTACTGCACTGTGATATGGTAGACAAGGAAGAGCACACTCTCAGACCTATAGACCCAAGCATTGAATACATCACCTATCAAGAATGGATATGTGATAATTGCAAAAGGACGTTTCCATGTGAAAGAGAGAAAGAGAAGGCTTTTCACTGTGACAAGTGTAATTTTGATCTATGCAGTACTTGTTTTAAAGGAGAAAAGCATCCACTTCACCCACATCCATTGGTGGAGATAGGATCAAAACCAGGGAGACCAATTCTAGAATGTTCTAATTGCGAGAAGCTAATTAGAGGGGCGACTCACTACCGATGCAGGAAAAGCTCTTGCCAGTACAGTCTATGTCTGAGTTGCTTCTCGAAGCAACCTGAAATTCATCCCTACCATGATCACCCACTGAATGTTTGTGATGCCCTAGTTGTATATCCACAGAGTGGTGGGATGTGGCACTGTGATAGATGCACGGCCAACAGTGAAAACCATCAGCCAGTGGCTCTGTCACACACAGAGACCATGTACCACTGTGACGAGTGTGAATACGACTTGTGCTACAGTTGCTACTCTGAGGGCAAGTCAAGAAGATTCAGACCTGTACAAGTCACCGAGGAAGTCAGTTTCACACCCTCTGCTCCACAGACCTCTGATTTCACCTATGACTCCAGTGGTTACGGTACATACCAACCATACCAACAGGCAACTTATTACACTCCTCAAGATTACCAGACACGACTGAGTAGGCCACTAGTTACTGGGTTCCAGAGTTTCTTGCCCCAAACCCCACCCTCGCATAGAACATGTGTCGTTTGCAATAGACGAGAAGCTATATTCACTTTCCTCCACAATGGGATACCACACTCTGGAAAAGCTCTGTGCTGCCACGGCTGTGCTTTTGATGTTGTTACTAACAGAAGACCGTGTCCAGCTTGCAGAATCCCACCGGATGAAGTTTTTAGAGTACCCTGATGTGACGGTATTACCGTACTCTCTGTGTGCTATTTAAGAAAGTGTGCTCAGCCAGAAACAGTATTAGTAGTATTAGTATGTGTATAAAACATATGAGATGTGAAAATTGTTGCTTGCAGGAGTTAGCTAACACTTTCAGAGCTAACGGAGCATGAAAAACCTTGCAACCCTTAATTATTATACTATTATAATAATACCTCTGGACAACCGGTTCTCCAATGTTGTGATATCTGCAGCAACTTTCCGAGCTATTTCGTCACAGTTGCTGCTCTTCAGGCAAAATCCTTGTAACAACACCTGCACTGGCTGGTATGATTACCACAATAAGGATGGGACTGTAAGCAAGCAGAATTCTGCTGGTATGAGAAATGTTCAGCATAATGTCTATTTGAGAGGAAAAGGAGACTATTATTAAACAAGGTCGGCATTATATTTGACTACAACGAGGGAAGGGCAGGAAATGTTTGTCTGCTGATCTCATGTTGTTAAAGCCCTCTGATGTTTGCCTACAAATATACACTATCAATTTGCAATAAAGAATAAGGTATGATATCATTAGCTACATCCTGTGAGCTTAAGTCATACTGCTGTAAGTATACAACTTCATGCAGGTGCTCATGATGAGGTAACCATTACGTCATACCTTCACACAGCCAGGATGGTTACCGCAGTAAGCCATGACTGTCACAATGAGATCAGGCTGCAGTAGTTCCTGGCTGCCAGGGACGCAAAACTGCAATATCAAATGTGCAGCATTGATTCTAAAGTTTACAGTGCAGAGTGAGACGTACTGGTTTTGTGAGGAGGTTCAGAGATGCAGTCAGAGATGCTACTGCTTCATTCAGCTTCACCTGACACGTCTGGTTGCTCTACACATCATTAGTTACATACTCGAAAAATCCGAATGAAGTGGATTTTCGTACCACTTGGACCATGGTCGGTGTCATGTCGAGAACAAAGACGAGACTGTATTGCTGGCATATGTAGAAGACGTCAGGCCTGGCGGACACGCCCCCAGCTCCACCCACAACCGAGAGGACACTGAGGTCATCTGAACTGGACTCCGCCCATGACTACCACCAGCAATGTGTGTGTGCATATTATATGTAAGGTATGGTTCTATAATACAACAAGCCAGCTGCATACATTCTTGTACTCTAGCATGTTACGGGGAAGATACGTATTGCAGGAAATGTGTAGGAAGACAAAATAACATTCTTTTCCTGGGACTGCACATGGGGACCGACCCTCTGCCTCAATGTGCTATATATATTGAGCAGGGTTTACTCTACTGCTACACACTGCCCCCTCACACTCACGTGCTATTGCTTGCATCGTCCATAGTGGCGACTACGTGTAGTGATAGAGACATACCTGACCGGTCAGCAGTCTTCTGAGGTGCCACGTGGCCCGGAAACTCCGCGAGACGCGGTGGTCCTTACTCAGCAGGACGTACACGGACGAACTTGCGCTCCCCTGCCCCAAGTTGTTGGTGGGCATCAATTAGATAAATACGCTCGGTTTCGCTAGTAGCTTATCAGTTTACCTCTGGTGGCAGTACTGTCATGATTTCCTGTGCTTCAGCAGTCCTGGTGTAAAATTTTGGCTTCAGCAATAAATTCGTTCATCTTCTACAAGGACACCAAAGAGGCGAACTGCACCTAAGTTCGCTAGCCACGCCCACTTTGCTTACCAAGCGCAATTTCTAAAAGGAGAGCACCATAATATCTCAAAAGCCATGGACGACGAGGCCGAGACGTACAAACTGTGGCGCATCCGCAAGACAGTGATGCAGATGTGCCGTGACCGCGGCTATCTGGTGACGCAGTACGAGCTGGACCAGACACTAGACCAGTTCAAGGAGCAGTTCGGAGACAGGCCAAGGTTCGCCTCACGTGATACTTTCATTTGACTCACTGGTTTTCTTCGATGTTCAGTGAACGTCGACCTAATCGGACGGACCTCTCTATTCTGGTGGCCCATAACGACGACCCCACAGATCAGATGTTTGTTTTCTTCCCAGAGGACGCCAAGGTCGGAATAAAAACCATCAAACAGTAAGTCAAATACTGACCCTATGACACGGCTGTATTCCTGCAACACCATTTACCCTGAATGATAAAACTCACTAGGTCTGCATAATACAAAACAAATTATAGGAGCCTCGAAATTTATTTGTGAATTTTATCAGGCCCCAGCTGTCAAATAATACTACCCACAAAGTTATAAAATTGCAGAATGTTGTAGTAGGTTATATCCACTGCAGATACTGTCAGCGGATGCAAGAAGAGAATATATCTCGAGCCATCATTGTGGTTCAGCAGGGAATGACTCCGTCGGCCAAACAGTCTCTGGTGGACATGGCCCCCAAGTACATTCTGGAGATGTTTATGGAGGCCGAGCTGATGATCAACATCACTGAACACGAGTTGGTTAGCCAATGCACTCCACTTCTGAACACCCCCAGTTGCATAATTTTAGTGAGCCTACCTTTTTGCAAGCCGTTTGTCTCATAATATTTGAGCAAGCATAAGACCTTCACATGGCTTCATCTTGGTCATTGATCATTCATGAACCTGCATATAATGTATTGAGGCGATTGCTTTGCACAGTATTAGCCCAGTAAAGCACATAGAAGTAGATATGCAAGAATGTATCCATTTTCCTGATTGAGTGTCAAGTTGGTTGTTAGTTTTCAGTCTGGACTGGGATATACAGTAAGGTTGGACCATGTGTCCAAACGCAGGTTCCGGAGCATGTCGTCATGACACCAGAAGCGAAGAAAGAACTGCTGCAGAGGTATAAACTGAAGGAGCACCAGTTGCCACGGATACAGCAGAGTGATCCTGTCGCTAGGTGAGAGAGAGAGATCACTTCTTCTGTACACCCAACGTCTCATTTGGCTCAGCTACAGTATATATAATCATTGTTCACGAGTGTGTATTGCACTGCACTCTCCAGCTATATATATTGAGCAGTGTTGGTTGGCTTACCCTTTACTTGCTCACTAAATAAAAAGTACAAAAATTAAGTCAGTCTTGAGAGTGGATTGCACTGCATCCTCCAGCTACAGTTGAGGTATTCAAGATATTTTGTTGGCCTACCCTTCCCTTCACATACTCACTAAAAGTACGAAATATTTAGTCATCTCAGAGTGTGGATTGCACTGCACCTTGCAGCCACATAGCTCTGCGCTTAAAATTATTGTATAATCTGTGACAGATATTTTGGACTGAAGAGAGGGCAAGTGGTGAGAATCATAAGACCCAGTGAGACTGCTGGAAGATATGTCACCTACAGAATGGTGCAGTGAAGACTGTATAATTATACTGTCCACCTCTATCAACTCTCTCTTTCATCACATGATTGCAAGAAGCTTCAGCTTTTGTCTATATTGTGCTTCACATAACAATAAGTGTGTCTTCTAAATGCAAATCAGCTCGCGTCACCTGGCCACATAAAAAAATATCATCATGTGATGCAATAATTCAGGTGTAAAAATGTACTCTGTTGTAGTTCGTACCACAGCCAGACATAATTCCATTGAGAATAAATTAAAATCCTAGTAGAGTAGTTCAGGCTACGTAGATAGAGGACACCCATCCCCGTCATCTCTGGAGTTAAGGGCAAATATGATGAGATCAGCGAGCCACCACGCGAAGAAAGAGGAGGGAGACAAACGAGTTCACAGAGCAGCAGAAGATGCACAGTGCCGACGTGTCGTCGTCTCTCTTTCGTGCCACGGCGCAGGACGCACACTGAAAGAAGCAGAGCAACAGACCTAGAATAATCTGAGGGACTGCCAGATCGTAGCGCTCTATGTAGAAGTTTGCGGCGCCAAAGTTGATGAGGAAGATGCTCAGGAGGAGGGCAACTACCCGTCTCCTGGTGTCCCTCCTGCACTCCCCACTGCTGTTGGAGAAATGCCAGCAGTTTCTTAGCTGGCAGAAGTTGGTGGAGGGGTCGTAGTAGAAGCACTCGAGGCTCTCCGTCGTCCCGTTGCTGTCGGCGGTGTAGACGTCGCAGTTGCAAATGCCAGTGGTACTGTTACACTCCCCCACGAGGGCGTATCTGCTGCATACATCCTCCTGGTCGTGTCGTCTGGCTCCACAGTCCGTTCCGTTGGGTGGCAGCTCAGAACACGTGCTCGTAAATATTACGAAGCCTACTAGTAGAGCCAGTTCTAAGCTCTTTAAACAGTTCATTATCCTTGGTCTTGGATCTTCAATCCCAGTTCTGTAGTCTTTATCACTGAATTTTGAGGGCTGTCATCTCCACAGCAAAGGGCAAAGTGCGAAACTCTTTCCTGTCACGTGACATTTTCTTCGTATTTGTAAAGAATACGGCTCCGTAAAACTAGCAACACTTGGACCTACCTACTACCTGTTCTCTGTCTCTTCTGTAGCTACTACATGCCGGACGGTTTTGAGTTGCTGAAGTGCATTCCACAGGGAATTAGAGAGCATTGCTAGAATGTCTGGCAAGAGGTCGTTCGCTAGAGAGCTGAGCGAGTGAGTTCCAACAGTATATTGTTTACTGAACTGAAGTCTATACATTCTGGTACAAAGTGTTGTGTTCGTGTGAGTGAATGTAGCTAACGAATCGCCGCTGAAGCGTTGCATGTGTCTCCGGGACCTTCAGTAAAGCCGGTTCACGGTTGCTGGGCGTGTGTAGGTCCGCTAGTGTTGTGGGTGGAAGGCTCCTTGTACAAGGTCCCCTATCATCATCTCTTCTTGTTCTAAATATAGCACGTCCGCGGCGCAGATACGGAACCAGGTGTCTGCAGCCTTCAGTTCTGACTTGACGGACACCACTGGGACGGTGGCTCAATTTACCAGCAGTCTCGAGGGCTCGTTCATCATGAACGCCATTGCAAGTGGTCTCCACGGCAGCGGTGGCATGCTGGTGAGTACACCTTGTCTCCCTTGGCCTTGTGCAGGGCTCTGTACGTAGGATACACGTTCATCATAAGTAGGTGTGCTTTATATGTAACGGGTATATGCACCATTTAGCACAGTATTCAGTCTGACTTTCCCCTCCCCCCTTGTCTTTTGCTTCCTCTTGTCCCTCTCTCTCCCTGTCTTCTGCGTTCCACTCTTCTCTCTCTCCCCCCTCTTCCCCTTTCGCTCCCCTCTTTCCTCCTTTTTACCCTTCTCCCCACTTCCCTTCTCTTTCCCTCTCCTCCCCTCCCCCCACCCCTGCCCTTCCCTCGCCCTGCTTCTCGCTGCCCTCTCTCAATGGAGGCTGATCAATATCACAATCGCTACAACGACACCAGCTCGGCTCTGGGTGGTTCGGCCGGGGCCCGGACGTGAATCAATATCCTATAAGAGACTTTGCATCAGCTAGATCAGATAATATCTTATGACAGCCAACGTTCATGCGCTCGTTAACAGCACACTTTCGCGATTCCGGTTTAGTCGGTCAAGGTACCGGCTATTTGCGCTGTCACTGGCTACGGACATACCCTATATAACCGGAACGAACATTGTGTACGTGTAATGTGGAGTTTAATGTAAACTGACTGGAAGAGGAAGGAACACTGATAAAGTCCCCGTACAAGAGAAGGACAGAAGAGAGACAAAGACTGGGAAGGAGAGTGGGGGAGCACTAGAAAAGGCAAGTGAGGAGAAAGACAGATGGCAAGGAGGTGCCACGTGACACGAAAGCAAGAGTAAGCTCCTCACGCAAAGTATTGAAGAGAGATGAGATTGCTATATGTGAAATTTTCCACCTCCCTTAGTTATATTTTCGATTTGCCTCGTCTTCTTTTTCGCTCCTGCTCCCATTCCTCCTCTGTGTTGTGCCGCTGGGGATCCTGAATGCTCCTGTGTGTTAGTTTTTATCCGCGTCCTTTTACTTCTATACGGCGCTTCCACTCGTCCCTCGGGGTACCATACCCCACGCGGCATGAGTGAGGTAAGGCTGACCGACCTCTCATGTCTGTGAGATGGACGATACTGTTGGCTTGGAGAGAAGAGCCTGACTTTGCCACACCCACCTGGTCCATTCTGTTCTCTGATGAGGCCTTGAGAACGATCTTGAAGCAATGTCAGTGAGTCTGTAACACAACAATAGAGTGGTAACATGGTCCGAGTTTCTTCCATTGCACATCGCATACAAAACACACCCTGTAGCCTCAAGGCTTAATACTGTATTTTGGTTTTCGTGTGCCCCTGTGTCACAGTGGCTACAGTATTGTAACATGGACCAAAAAATGCGTCCGTTTTTAATCTAATCTGCTAAATTATTGACCAAATAACTTGATTATGGACAACTATAATGTACATCATGTCTACATATGGTGCAAAAGTGTGAAAGCTGCTCGTAATTATTATGTTTGTCACTGACATCTTCACTGCATGATACATACATTACAATTGGAGAATTAGCTTAACGGAGTGGTCGGGGTTTAGAGTTTTGTGGGCAGTCTGCCTCATGACCGCCGTCGTGAGAAGCGAGATGTTTTTTTGTTGTGATAGTCCCTAGGTGATGGAGGGAGAGGTCCCCTGCCCCCAGGAGCCGCCACCGGGTCGTAGCCCCTCTCCCTCTCCCGCCCGCCCCAGTCTCGCGTCTCCCATACGATGCACATCCTTCGGGGGAAGGCCTCTCCCTCATTCTCTGGAGTCCACCCTCTCCTCTGCTCCATCTCAATGGCCGCAGCTCTGAGAGGACGGACGACCCATGACCCCACGACTACCAGTCGGAGTGGTGTGCATGGGGGTGCATCATCGGTAGACCGATGTGGTCCCCGGTGGTCGCTCGGACACCACCGCCGTAGTCCAGAGCCGTACCGTCTCGGGTGGATCAGGAACGTTGCTCTGCAGCCCCTTTGTCGTGGAGGGTGGAGGGACGACCGGACATGGGCGGAGCTTGGCGTCGCGGGCGTGTGGTGGTGGGAAAGATGATGTTTTGCGTGCTGCCCGTAGGCGTCTCTCAGCAGAGACGAGCTAAGTAGACAGAAAGAATGGTTTCAAGGCTCCTACGTGTACACTATAGAACTGTAGGACTCCAGACTCAAACCCGGCCGTTTTCTTTTAGCTATAGGATGGAGCACAACATGTTTAGGTGCAGCTGTTGCTATCGTTGCTGTCGCTCACATCGTAGTGTTGGTGGTGTGCAAATGTACGGTGGAATGACCATCAAACTGGAAAACTGTAGGTGGACTGGATTACTTGTACGTAAGTGGATTAACTTAGTTTGAAAGACTACTCTTATGGTACGATAATGTTGGCCAGATGATGATAATTAGTGTATGATGTGTAACAGCGCGAGTAACTAACTGTATAGGATGGCTCAACTTGGGTAAATGGGGGTCTCTGTATGGTGGCGAGCCATGGGCGGGATCCTCTCATAGGGAGGTTAGAGGAGGAAGAGGAGCCGCCGGCAAAATCCTCGTCAAACCTCATCTCTTTCTCCGCATGTATCCGAACTCCCTGGCTCCACACCTCCACGCTTCCCCTCAGTCTCCCTGCACACAGGGAGGAGACTCACAGGCTGTATGTACAAAAATCGATCATAAAATTATAGGCGGCTTGTTGTGCTGCGAAATAAATTGGGCATGTCGGAACATCTCGTTTTTGTGGCCGACACGTCGGTTATCATTGAAGGGCTCTAATTGCACATATCACTGAACAATTAACACATTAAATTAGTGTGACAGTCATAGGCCAGCTTAAACTACACGAATTTTCCAGTTCATGCGTGTGCGTGAAATTGCAGATATCGAAAGGTTCAACAGTAGTTTGTCTCACCTGACATGGAGTAGTCCTGTAGTCTGTGATGATGGGGCATTGTCAGTGGAACTGGAGGTCTGGGGAGCTTGTGTGGTAGAGGAGGCTGTGGAAGAGAGATGAGATTCACACGAGTACTTGTTACGAATACAGTGGAACCCCTCTCATCCGGACACCAATGGGACAGAAGTGTCCATATAAGCGAGGTATCGTTGTCGTCGCAGACCCACTCACCTGAGGAGGTTCGTCCTGAATGGCTCCGGAGGACTGGAGGACTGCCACCAGTCTGTTGAAGGCACTCTGGTCAGCGGTCTCCGAGTAAGACAAGGGGGAGTGGGGGGCGTGGCTGATGTTCTCTCTCTCGTGGACCTCGTCCAGTGTCAGCGCATTGGCTGGGTGGCCACCCGAATGACGATAGGCTGTACACACACATTTTCAGAGTGTGAAGTAACATGCCTCCACTACCCCTAGAGGACCCTTTAGTTACAGTACCGTACTTGTTTCAATTATTGCATTGTTACATGTGGTACATGTATGTAGGTATGTGTAAACAAAGACATGTTGTACGACGACATGTACACACAAATGCATGTGGTCCAAATGGAAAACTGGGGGTTTTAAGTCTGAAAATGAAGTGTAAACTTTCCAAGTTTGCTTTCCTGCAACACCCTTGTGGGAGGTCCTTTGCGATAGTTTGAAGAGGTTTTCTGAGGTTTTCAAGATCTCTTTGCAACCCATCCATTTTTTACCACGTACTTTCCCCCCCCCTATTTGCTAAACCAAAACTAAAGTCCTCACCTTCCTCCTCTTCTCCCAGTCTCAGTGTCTTCATCAGAGTCGAGGAGAGTTTGCCGGGATTATCTGCTGTGTGAGGCAGTGGCCCTCTCCTCCCTCCTCTGTAGTGAGTGGACTCGTCATCATCTTCTTCGTCTGATGCCAGGGCTTGACACATACTCACACCTGGAGGGAGGGAAAGAGAGAGAGAGGGATAAGGAAGGAAAGAGGTAGGGAGAGTGGGAATATAGAAAGATGGAAACATCTGAATGTGGGAGTTTTGACGGGGACTGCACATGTACAATAATTTTATACTGTACGTGATTCTAAATATGCGTGAAACATGCAAAAAGTCGAACTGCTTGCATTTCATACACCACTCGTGATACACTCTGAGGACTGGGGTTGACTCACTGGTGCTGAAGTCAAAGCCGTCAAGCATGAACTCATTTTCTGGTTCTTTAGCGACTGTGCCCCCCTCTTCCCCACCCCCCCATCACACGTCTCACCACTCCCACCGTTACTCCCTCCTCCACCCCCACACTCCCCTCCGAGGTCTTCGTGCTCCCTTCTTCCTCGCTCATCCCTCCACCCCTCCCACCCTCACTTCCTCCCTCCCCCACATCCTCCCCTTCCTCACAAACAACCGCCGCATCTCTCCCATCTCCTCTCTCCCTATCTCTTCCCCCTGCAAACACACAGTTGGGGACAAAACACGCAATACCAAATCAAACGTGTGTTTGTCCCTACCCATATATGGTAATGAATGTACAAGTATTGGTTTGTATGTCACTGACATGTGTAAACTGCAACAGTGGTGGCTTATTGTGAATAGAGTGTATGTTTTCCTTGCTATAGTTTAAGATTGTATGCGTTAATGTCAGTTTGCCATCTACAGCACCAAAAACCTGCGTATTGTTTGAATTACTCATCAGCTAGTTGACATCAACATGACGCACAAGTTTACTTCCGCATAACCGTGACTACTGTGAATTTCTGAGAAGTGTTTGCCAAAAACCAGCTGGGTGTAAAATTTTGTGCAGGATGGAAATTTAGTGAATTTCAGACTTCTCACTCACTCACCGCCATCTCTGCCCCTCTCGTGTTCCTCCAGACCCACCAGTTCGATGACCTCTGACCTGTCAGTGGGACCGAATGACATCCATTCCGGCTCCTCCTGTGAGTGGAGAGAGACCACTAATTCTAGCAGCTCCAACATGTACATACAGACTGCAGAGTGCCGTGGGTTCAGGTTAAGCCCATATTTGGCAAAAAATTCATAGAAAGTGGAAATATGTATGTAATAACACGAGTCAAAAAATCAGGTCAACTTTTTTTGGATTTTGGATTTCCTCGCAAAACATAACATTGACTGCTCATTCAGCGGTGTTTCTGTATACTTATAGTTCGATGAAGGATATCAGTAACTGCAATCTGTGTTTGAATTTTGCTCAAGCAACAACACTAGCACACGGACCTCAATTTCTTTGCTCTTGAATCCTCCGTATGACCGCCCCCGGTCCCTCTCCCCTGCCCTCCCTCCGTCTCCCTTCCAGCCCTTTTTGTCTCGGAGGGGTATGTGGTTTATGACCATGGGACTGTGTGAGTGGGCGTGGTTTGAGTGATGGTAGCCACTGGACCTGGCCCCTGGGAAGAGGGGGAAGGACGAGAAAACACGTGCAAAGGAAGGAAAGGAGAGGAGAGTAGGAAAGGAGAAATAGGAAGAGAGAGAGAAGGAACGGAAAAATAAATTGATGGTAAAAATAAATTGACAGTTGAGAGAGGGACATTGTCGGGAGAGGTCAGAGTACACATGTACTTGAAGCACCCACGTGGACCTTCAAAAAGTCCCCATCTCTTGATCTCCATGTACTGTGTACCCTGACCATTCAACCCCAACACCACTCGTCTACTCACTGGTCCTCACAGACCCGCGTGGTGTGGGCACACTCTACAAGGCGTCCCGTCGATGTAAGAGCAACGACCACCACTGACTGAGCTGGTATGTAGTTCACATGTCGACAAGTCTTTCAACGTCAATTTCCCCCCTCTCGCTGTGCATACCACTGCTCTCGCTGTTTTGCTTTCACCACACTTTGAACAACATCTAGTCCTTTTCTCACTCTCTCATGCACACACACTCCTCCTCCTTATATATATATAGGGTAATGATAGTGGTAGTATTCGTACTTAATACACTGTTTATCAGCATAAACAGAAGAAGACATCTATGCAGCGTCAGGGAGCAAGAAAAATTGCACCTACAAAACCCCAACGTATTGTTTTATCCCATACAGGCAAAATTTTGCATTTGGATGGCTTGGCTTATTTCACTTGCTAGGAAAAAACGGCAGCAACATAGAAGATGGGAATACTAACCTCTTCTTGAGTCGGGAGCGTTTCCATCGAAGGGTGAGTCCCTGTTATTAGCAGAGGAGGATGAGGAGGCCCCGGCAGTGTGTCCGCCATCTTTGGCCGAGGAGGAAGAGGAAGAGGAGGTGTTCCATGAGCAGCCGCTGCCAAAACTCCTCCTCTGGGGACTCAGACACACTTTCCCGTACCCTCGAACCTCTGTGGAGATGTAGCAGTGAGACTATCGTAATGTGCACATTGACATGCACACCAGAATTACAGGGAAAACTTTAGCGGGAGAAAACTGCGACATCGCGAAGGGTCAAATGTGATGCGTCGTACATATTACGCTTACAAAGTTCCTTCGACTTTGCATTGCGTCGCGTCGCAGGATCCTGCAAATGTGTATCGTGAACCAAATCTGTGCCATCAAGGAAAGAGGCACAGGAGACCGGCACATGCAAAATAATCTTTCGCAAATCATGTTACTGTATATCGTCTTTGCCTACAAAATCTTATTATAATAATCAAGTCACACAATGTAAATGACACTGTTTGAGGGCTAGCGAGGCGCCGGGCCTAGAGCACTTGTTGACTACATATATTTGCGTAGAGAACTGAACTTAGCAGGGAAACACTGGCTAGACATGTTGGCTGGAGCATGCCGCCATGTGCAGGCCATGTGCAGGCAGCTGTGGTTGAATGATGGGCTAGTGATGGCCATCCCTATCAAGAAATTGAACACCCTGCATTGTTTCATCATAACATGCATCGTGGGTGTATATATGTATGAGACTTGATGCACAGTGTGTCAAGAGCCATTAGAGCTGATCATAGAATACAACACTGGTTGTGAAGAGCAAAGCCACCCTCCAACCGCTGTACGTTATGTTTGTGTATACGAATTGTGGCGGAGCGTTGTCGACACCAGTCACTGCTACATACAATGGAACATCACACAATTAACACATATTATGTAGGCTCGCTCGCCAATAAGACCCTCTGGTGAGAGACAGATGTGTAAAAGGGTGGCTAACCGTGCTCCCTAATGATGGAGAGCGTCGTTGGATTCTTCAATTTCGGCAGAGTTTTCCCAGTCACAGCTGTCTCTCCCGTCTCCCCTTCCTCCAGCCTACATTAGCATCAGAGAATTTCATTAATAATGATGACCTCACTAAAAGTAAAATCTCATTCCACAAAACTACTCATATAAACTTCTTAAGTAATTATACTGTTGGCCAACAAATTACTTACTATTGGATAAATTACAGTACAAAGTGTGTCCATATGCGTTGGTATATAAGTGGGGTATGTAGTTCCTGCGTCCATTGTGAAATTTCTATTTGCATTAACGAACATTTTCACCCGGCTAAATATCTACGGAAAACTCCCAAACTCCCAGCTAATGTATGCTCAGTGCTGCCATTGGACCGCAGGGCAAATTAAAGCCAATATGTCGTTTGTTGCTATCGTCAAATGTGTACATGCAAACATGTTAGTCTAACAGATTACAGACAGATGGCGCAGCCACCCAGGAACCACGGCCTCCTAGCACACCAGACAACATTCTTCACACATACATTCGTCGGCAAAAAAATCATTTTTAAAACGCGGCCAAGGGCATTCATTATTATAATTCACACACCCTACAATTTGCTCATACTACTTGCAAAAAAACTGCAACAGGTTTGTATGCAACTCACTCTGCTGTTTCTTCGCTGGAGGATTGAGGAGTTAGCCAGGCCTCAGCACACCACTTCCCCTGCCTGCGACCATGGGCATACGTAGATATTGTGCAAATATCGACTTGTGTAATGTTTGGCCTGCACCATTAACCCAAGAACTGAATTGTATGCACTAGGAAAATTTGTAGAGAAAAATTTTAATTGGGTAACAAATTTCGTGTCCAAAACCATGCCCCAAGCCAAAAGCAACAGTTAAACTTAATGATTTAACTATACACTCATTGAATAGACGACGTATACATACAGTATATACCTGAAAAATTTTCCCTGCAGACTCTCTGGCTTTTTCTGACTCAGCGTGTGGTCTTTTAGTGCCAGCAGTTGGACCTGGTGTGGAGGTTTTGGCAGAGGGAGGGAGAGCAAAGACAATAACATATCCACCACCCTTCCTGCGATGACTGGGTGGCCTTACATACATACACCACAGTACAATTGACTCTGTATCTATCGCTTGATGTAAATACGCATGTACGCACTATGTCCAACTACAATGCAATATCCATTGCTGTAAAATGGTGCCGTAGCAATTAAAGGTTAACCATTCTAAAATTAGGGCATTGGACACACATTTGACAAAAAAAGCCACTAGCTTGCACTATTGTATGTTTCAATACGGGCCTGTCGGACCTTACTAGACACAATTACAAGCTGGAGACTATTGAGAGCCTCAGACTTGAACAACACAATCAAGCAAACGAACAGACGCATATCCAACATGGACACGTACAATACACAATAACGTGCACATGAAGATGTGTACAAGAAGACAGTGTTCTGCATGTCACTGTGTCACTCACTCTTGTGTAGGTGTGCCGTGGTTGCGTCGTCGACTCCTCACTTTCCGCGCCATCCTTCCCCACCTTCTCTCCCGTCTTGGTGAGAGTTCCATCTTCCTCTCCCTCCTCCCCACCCTCCCCACTCCCACCCTGGGCACTGGCTCCAGACGTCTTGTCCACTGACGAAGCTGTCGACTCCAGTGACGCCTGCTTTGTCAGCAGTGTCTCCTTTGCCGGGGAGACCCCTCCATTTATGATCAATTCCCCAGGTTCTTGTTCACCATGCGACCCGCTGTCCCACTCCAGCTCGCAACTGACGACAGCGGCAGTGCTCTCTTTCTCTTTCCCTCCTTCTTTCTCTCCCCCGCCCCCTCCTCCTCCTCCCTTCCCACCCTCCTTCCCAGACCTCCGTTTCGGAGATCGAGACCTGTACGAAGACCCTCCAGACGCACTCCGTGAATTCCTCTTCCTCCCTTTCCCTCCTCCTCCTCCTCCTCCTCCGACCGACACCACTAGCAGGTGAGGGTTTCGACTGGTCCCCAGGTGTCTCTGCATCTGGATTCAATCTCTCAAACCTGTTGTTTGTGTCCGTTGCCGTGGCAACCCTGTCGAAACGAGCCGACTGCGAGCGCTCAATCTTTTCGCCGCCGCTCTGATACCGCTGGGCAGTTTCCGGGTCCCAACTGTGCCTGTTAGCGTGTCCCCCTCCCCTATTCCCTCCTGCCCCGCCTTCCCCTCCTCCGTCCGTTTCCCCCGCATCCTTCCCTCGCCCCTGCACTGACGAGCCACCCCCACCGCCGCGAGAGGCCGAATGTTTCCCTCCTCCGTCTCTGGAGTGTCTCTTGCGACCACCACTCGCCCCACCAGAAGAGCCGGCGGTGGTAATACTGTTCCCCGGACCATTCTCCTCACTGCTACTGCGAGGTATGGGAGGTCTGTCTCGATTCGAGACTTTCCGAGCTGGAGAGGTGAAAATTGGTTGCTAACACGACAGAATATCAGGCACTGTACACTAGACTGCTGTTACCTTGGCCAGAGGGTCTTTTCTGCGTGACGACCTGAAAGGGTTGTTCCGCTGCAGTTCTCGATGACATGTCGACGTCGGGGCCCAAAAACGCAGACACAGCACCTTTTTTGACAGAGACAAAGTGATTGAGGCAGTTTAGGGAGGCAGAGTCATCTCACGAGAAACACACGCGACCTGGGGAGTGAAAGAGGCGCGCATAGATGAAGCAGCAGTGCCCAGCAGCAGCTCTACCTGAGAGGGGACGTGCGGTGCAGTGCGGTCTCCAAGCACAAGAGAAACCAGACGGAGAACAGCGGGCGGATCTCCGGAGTAAACTACGGCGCAAGTGGTCGCGTGAGTTTCAGGTGATATCATGTGCCGTGACGTAACGTTGCTGGGGAGCGAAAACGCGTTACGAATGCGGCAACGTCCAGTTATCGGTGTCGTGCGCAGTTAGCGCTTGGAAGTGGGAAGCTGTAGAGCTTTCCCTCAAGTCTAACGGCACTCCGAGTACCAGCAGAAAGTTGCTTAGAAGTCTGTAATACCACTTTTCTGTCCGTCGTAGTGTAGAGTCGGTCAAGATGCTGCGTTGCTGAGACTACGTACGACCTTTTCGTGGAGCCCCGCTCTCCAACCGTCTAACCCTCCCCCTCCCTTTCTCCCTCACCCCTCCTCTTTTCCTCTCTCTCGACTCACTTCTCGCACCTGGAGTGTCCACTACGGCAAACAATCAGCAAACAAGACAGCTCGGGTAAAAGAATCGAACTCGCACAAGACTCAGACTAGCTGTAAAGATCTGTGAAGAGATGGTGTCCGTGCAACACCCTGCCGCGGCAGCTGCCTTCTGGCCGGCAGGCGGGGCTCACAGTCACGTATTCGCGGCCTTCCCAGCCGTGGCTTCGGCCCACCAGGTCGGCTCTCTTGTGCCGCACTGGCACCATCATCACCAGCACCTCCCGAACGTCAGCGGATCGTGTGTAAGCGTGTCAAGCCACGCTCTCGCTCATCATCATCTCCACCACGGACCTACCCCCGTCGGTACGGCGGGAGACGGCGGACTGGGAAGCCTCGGACAAGCGCTAGCGTCCTCGGCCGCGGCTTTCCTTGCCCCGCAGCCTCCTCCCCCCATGGTCGCTCCCCTGACCCACCCTCACCACGTTCTGATGAGCCCGCGTTCTTTCGCGGCGGGAAGAACCGTTCTCTCGCTCCCGTCGCAACAGCCGGTCACAACCGTGAACCCAGAGCAACCCATAGGCTACGGATCCTTTGGTGTAGTCTGGTAAGTACACATGCAGCTAGACACGTTAGAGAGACTTGTAGAAACGCAAACACCGTGTCTTTTGGGGGGGAGGGTCGGTTTTTACCCGAAAAGAGCTTCTCTCGCTCTGGCTTGAGGTTTTGCCCTATTCGCTTCTGGCACGTTGTGTGCCCCGGTTTACACGGACACTAGAAGGAGCGCCCACTGACTGGCACAGTGACTCCAGCTGAACCTACCAGCTGTAGTATTGTGGTGAGGTGGTTAGTCTTATCTCTGGTTAGCCAAGAAGGTCACCTGGGGCATCCTAAGATTGAACCAGGAATCTTTGGCCTGCCATGCCACTACAAACCCTTGATTGGTCAATCAAAAGCTGGATAAGGGTAGTTGGGGAGTTTGAAGCTCATTTCCCAACAGTCTATAGTTTCCAGGAAGACTCTATTGCAAGTACACAAATACAGTGATTGTGACATGGTGGGAGTGTTGAGTGCCTTTCAACTGCTTGTGCTGCTACAAACATCCTTTTCTCCCTCCCTCCCTCTGTTCCTCTCTTCTTTCCCACCTTCCCTCCCTCTTCTCCCACCCTCTTCTCCTTCCTTCAGGTCGGTGGTAAACTCTAGGACAGGTCAGAGAGCGGCACTCAAGAAGATTCCAAGCATCCACCAGTCTCTGCTCGGCTGCATTAGAACGTTCAGAGAAGTCAAGATCCTGTGTGAACTGGACAATGAGAACGTAAGCTTACAACCACCTCTGCTCTCATTACAAACCACAAATTAAAGGAGCTTTGAACGTTTTCCCCTCCACAATACACTAGGGAAAATGCTTACCCTTCTTAGTACTACCATCAACAACACTACTGTCATTACCAGCTACAAATAAAGGGGCCGTGTGCATTGTTAAGATGGGCTGGGAAAGGGCTACAGTCCTCGACACACCTGTTTGCAATCCTATTGTGTGTTTGTTGGTTACCAGAATGCCGTTTATGTAGTCCAAATTCAGACTTGTGGTTAACTTGCTCTTGGACGACATCTCGAGCCGACAAATTCAGTCCATTTGCTCAAAGCATTCGCTGCTAAAGACCAGAGCTATAGTTGGCAACAAAGCCTGTATTCATTGTCCCTGTCAACTGAACGATGTGCAAGACTGCCGTTTTCTCACCACTCATAGTCTTGTTCCCTCCCTATCCCCCATCTTATCCTTTCCCCTTATCCTACACCCATCCCTTTATCCACACGCATGGTTACCAGAATGTGACTAAAGCACCTACCACTGATAGATCTACTCCCTCTCATTTTCAGGGTGCTACAAATTCCATTCATTCCATTGTTACATCCATAACATGCCCACATCACTTCAATACATTGTTGTCTGCCTACCTGTGGCTACGATTGCAATGTCCACTTTAATTCTGTTTGTCCATGTACACGAAATGCAGACCATGTACGACTTTTTCCGCATAGTTTTGAATTTTGCACCGTCATCTTTTTTTACCTGCAGTTGCTGTCTGCCACTGATCTCATTCAACCACCTGTGTTAGAGCACTTTACTGATGTGTAAGTCACCCATCCTCCATCTCCCTGTAGCTGTATACATAGATAATGTCCGCTGTGTATACACATACATAGGCTAAAAATAGCCACGCTATTTTCGGCATACACTTGGCATGGCTACTGATGCTGGTCTGTATAGATGAGCTCATTTCGTTGTTGGAATACTTGGGAAATTGTCCTGCACCGAATGCATGCTTACATCGTTTGTGAGCACTGTTTGTGTTGACTGGGCCATTATTATGGTGTAGCTGCGTCATGGGGGGTCGTGGTTGTTCTTTGACTCTCTAATAGGATATTATGAGGGCGATGCTTATGTCACGTTGGGTGTGTCCTCTGCCAACTTTGCTCCATTTTCTTGTGTCGTGTGCACTAGGTTGTGCCCAGGGAGCACATGTTGCACATGTGCAGGGATCTGTTGTGAGCTCTTAGCCAAAGGGGCATTTAGCACTATAGTTGGGTCTGTTGTCTTTTAGCAGTGTTGATTAATGGGGCACTGCCAGCAATTGGGAAGTAATTACTGCATACCCTCGCTTACTTCCACTGCAGGTACATCATGTCTCCTCTCATGGAGAGTGATCTCCACCAGATAATAGTGTCAGCACAACAGCTCACAGAGGACCATGTCAAGGTTTTCGTCTATCAAGTATTGAGAGGTATAGTAGATGATGCTGCACAGTTTCATTCACTGTTTGTAGCCTAGCAGAGTTGGTGTGCAGTGTAAAAGAGGGAGAGTTTCTTACTGTGTGTGGTGTGAATGGGCTCCAAGGAAGGCATGGAGGCTGATGTCTGGTTGGCACCCCTGTCCTGGACAGTGGTTTGCCTCACTTCCTGCTAGAGCCTGGTGGCGTTGTCAGCTAGCACTGCCTGCCCACCTCCACTCTGCCATTCAGACTGCTGCTTCCTGTAGCCCAGCTTGCTTCCCCTTCTCTAGCTCTCTGCACACATTAGCAGGCTTAGGCTGCAGCTGGCTAGTCTTATCAACTTGTTGGTGGGTTTGTGGCCATTTTTCGCCTCCTCCTTCCCACCCCATTCTCCTCATTATTCACAACTGAGAAAAACGGGCCAGACTGCCACACTATCAACACTCTATCTCTCCCTCCCCTCTCTTCTCCCCCCTCCCTCTCTCCCTCTCTCTTCCCCAAGGTCTCAAATATCTCCACTCTGCTGGCGTGATCCACCGAGACCTGAAACCCGGGAACCTCCTCGTGAACAGCAACTGTCTGCTAAAGATCTGCGACTTTGGTTTCGCCCGTGCCATCGAACCGGACCGCAACACCCCGATGACACTGGAGGTAGTGACGCAGTACTACCGTGCTCCGGAGCTCCTCGCAGGCTGCAAGCACTACGACACGGCCATAGACATGTGGTCTGTCGGTTGCATCTTTGCAGAGCTGCTCGGCAGGAGAATCCTATTTGAAGCCTCCAACCCAACTGCACAGGTGTGTGCTTCTATCTCTTGTGGGTGAACCGCTGTTTCAGTGGTTGTTCTATTGACTCTGTGGTTGAAATGAAACCTCCCCTCCCTTGTAATGTGGTCCTAGTGAAGTAGAGTACAAAGAACAGTTGGTTGGATTACCCTAGTACTGGCTGGCTGGCTGGCTGGCTGGCTGGCTGACAATACCCATTGGCCTGGGTAAGTGAGTGGGCAGAGTGGTGGGGCTGGGGCATGTGGAGTGGATGTGGGGAACTCCAGCATGCCCAGGAAGTGGGAGGGAGATATAGTATGAGTGTGGTCTACCTGATATTCCTGGCTGGCCCTGGAATGTGTGGGGAATATGCACCTTACACCAGATTGGGCCACTCAATGGGGGTGTGTTTGGAGGTGGCATTTTTTGGCCCTAACTTTCAACATTGCATGCATGTACATGGAATGGAATGCCTCCGGAGTAACCAGATACCTTCTTATCCACTCTCCCCGTTCCCTCCCTTCTTCCCACTCCCTCTCTGTCTCCTTCCTCCTCCCCGTTCCCCTCTGCCCCCCTCGTTAGCTGGAGATGATAACAGACATCCTGGGAGCCCCGAGTCGAGAAGACGTGGCCCACGTCACCTCTCGCCACGCAGTCAAGAACCTTCTCTCTCAGGCCAAGCCTCGGGCCCTCAGCAAGCTCTACGCTCTCTCTCCGACTGTGTCACACGGAGCAGTCCACCTCCTCTCTCAAATGCTGGTCTTCAACCCTGTAAGACACTCACACCTCTATAATTTTACTTGTTCTTTTACCACACAGTCATCCAGGGTGCACTGTGCAATAACAAATTTCATAGAAAATCTGTTTTCTGTAATGGTTGTTTTCTTTTAGCTCACAGCTCACAAAATGGGCTTTTTCTTTCTAGCTTTTATTTTGTAAAACTGTCGAAGGTAGTGAATTATAGGGCAGTTGTTAGTGGGGCGGGGTTCTGCTGGCTCCAGCAGTCTACTAAATCACGTCAAGACATGTATGCTCTACAGACTCCACCACATGTCAACATGTGTCTGTCTTAGGCGCTAGGCAACAATCACACACCCCAATCTCGTTTTCCTGTGTAAAATGTAGTGCATCTCGTAGATGGTTGGTTGTGATTTCTCTCCCTTTGACCCAACACTGCTGCTCTCCTTCTTTTGTCTCTAGATCTAGTGATGACACTTCCTTGTAGTTTATGTAATAGCCCACAGAACATTGGCAGGTGTCACAGCACACACAGCACGCAGTACTACTGCATGGTGCACATGTTGCAATGGGATTGCAGCATGGAGTTGTGTGCAGAGCAGCATGCATTGTGTATCCTCTTGCTGATTAGGATACAGGGTTTCCTAGTATCAACATTGGTCACTTAAATTGAGTAGTTTACAAACACATTTTAGTGTGTTTCTTGGCCTGCTGTACTTATATAGGTTCTCCCTTGAGGCTAGCAGGTGAGGAAAAGGTAGTACCAAAACCTAGTACACTGCATAATACTCATAGAGCCATTCAGATCCAAGGTATCTGGAGGAGGGAGTGTACTATTCACGGCTTTCCATATAGTACACTGGTATCTCCAGTCGTTACAGCTACTAGCACACGCTCTAACCCCGCTCTGTGAATACGCTCCGTGTATCCATAAATACAATGTGGACTTTTGAGCTGTAGCTATTTATATAGTGGAGTGCGACCTTCACCATTATTTCTCCCTCCCTCCCTCCCTCCCTCCAGTCAAAGAGAATATCGTGTGTGGATGCACTTGACCACCCTTACCTGGAGGACGGGCGCATGCGCTACCACACGTTCCTCTGCTCCTGCTGTCACGGATCCGGGGCCGCCTCCCGCCAGTACTGCACTGACCTGGAGCCTCTGGCCAGCAAGAGATTTGACCCCAGCTACGAGAGAGAGCTCACCACACTCTTCAAGGCCAAAGGTGAGATGGTTCTTCAGTGGTGTAATGATAGGAGCCCCCCAGGGTAATCTAATGATAGGTGCCCCCCAGGGTAATCTAATGATAGGGGGCCCCCAGGGTAAATCTAATGATAGCTGGGATTGGGGAGGAAGGTTAGTGTAAACAGTGATTGCCAGCATGAACGACATACTTTCTTTCTCCCTATTTTTCTCACCCTCTTATCCACTTCTTGCTTCTCTTGTGTCTACAGCTGAGCTCCACTACTACATCCGTATGGTACACCCGCATCGGCCGCAGGTCTTCATCAACCCAAACTCGGAACAATTCCAACGTTTTCAGAGGTATATATTGCTACATATGCAAGCCAGCCATCTCTCCTATACACACCACCACATGTCCACTAGCTCTTTCTCCCTCTGTGTGTGTGTGTGTGTGTGTGTGTGTGTGTGCGTGTGTGCTGTACTGTTTGTGTGTTTTGTGCTAATAACTTGTGTTAGTGGGCGAAGTGTACGTACATGGTGAAACAACATGTCATTTCCTCTGTGGGCTATGTTTGTGTCCACGCAAGCTATTTTTATGCACACACACACACACACTGTACCGTAGTTGAAGAGTTATAACCCAGCAGTTTACCTAGACACATGTATACTCCCTCTCTCTCTCTCTCTCTCTCTCTCTCTCCTCCCTCTTCTCTTTTCCCCAGCTGTTTGCCAGGTGTTCCGGCAGCCTCGCCGGCGCGTCCTTAGAAAAACTTTTTTACTCCCACCACACTATCGTCACCCCACCACCTCCACCGAAAAAAGAGTTTGCTGATTTAGGGTCTAATTCTCCACGAATGTCTTGCTGCTCTCCTCTGCTGCTGAAGGCTTCGTGTGTGTCTGTCGTTTTATCGTCGTCTTCGGTTCTCATTTTCCGTCCTTCTCTGCACCGATCGAGTGTATCGAAAACACCTATTTATTTCTCTTTTGTTGTTGTGTTGTTGTTGATCACTCTCTCTGCGTGTGTATGTTTTGGTGTGTGTATCCTGACATTATTACTCGTCTGAGCCCTTGCACAAGAACACTGTTGCAGCTGTATAATTGTTGTGTACCCCCTGTCATCATTGCATATTAGAGCACACTACAGTTGTTTCAGTACCAGTGTATTGTGTAATCTGTCTGCCCCCAGTGTCTTGCTTCATTCAACCCTTTATGAAATGCCCCTATCATTGTATTGCCACTTACCCTTTGTGTGTGTGTTGAATTATCACTGATTTGTGTTTCGTCACCGCTTCAGTGATGGTCGGACACCTTTACAAACTGATTTTTCTTCTGAAAAGACTCTTGCACTGTGTGTGTGTGTGTGTGACTACAACCGATTGTTTTCCCCTCATCCGCACCTTTCACCCTGTTAGTCTGTCTCTGTGTGTGTGTGTGTGCAAATTGCTGTAGGTATTTGCAGCTTTGTTTAGCTTCTCGTGTGTACCGTTTGTCGTCTGTTGACCGTCCAGCCCTCTGTGAGAGAGTGACTGACAGATGCATGGTTCACCACAATTCTTGAGACAAGGACGACATCTTCAATCAAAGACAAGTCAAGAAACATTACCACCTACCACAGCCCCAAAATGTACCCTTCTCTCTCTCTCCTCTTATCGACTGATTCTCGTGTGACACAGTGTGGGTTTTCTCCAATGGCCAGTCAAAGAAACTGAAGGAGTGACTCTTGGCTATCACTGCACAAATCTCCCGTGTTTTTGTCTGTTTTTGCCCGGCAGTATTCCTTTATCATTTGGCATTACTAATCCGTGTATCCACTGCTCTCTCTCCCCGTCTCCCTCTGTCGATTGATTCCTTTTCTTGATTTTTGTGCCCCCAACCAGCCGTCATATCGACGGTGTTATCATTCATTTACCATTTGTTGTGTGCATATCTCTGGCAGTGCCGTGCCATGCACGACTTGCCACTGTTGTACATGAAGACAAGATTTGAACAGAAAGTCACTTGACGCAAGCCAAACACAAGCGTAATCTTTTGCTGTGTAATAAACAATGTGGCATAATTATGTGCAACAGTGTTGTCCTGGCTTTATGTAACTCTTGAGACACATGCATGCTTGAATTTTGACATGCACTCATAGACTCTGTGTTATGTAACAATATGGGATGGTTGTACAACAGCCCTTCACATGGAGGGAGGAACCTTTTGCAATTATGCATGATGTAATGTGTATATAACAGAGAGTATTATGCAGGAGAAAGTGTGTGGAGAGTGGCATCATGGTGCTAGGTGTGTGTTGGTCTCAGAACCCGTGCCTCCCACTGAACCAGTTGGTCTTTGAACACTGCCAGTGGCCGGATCTGCTGTCTGCACGATTCTACACGACTGTAGGCTTCCTGGGAAGAGGGGGGGAGGGGGAGGGTATGAACAAACGAGTTCTCTGTGAAGCCAGAGATGTCTGGCTAGGCAACGCTGTAGAACAGGCTACTCCTCTATCTGTCTTTCATCTGGCGACCTTGGTTCCTTTGTCGGTCAATGAGCTCAGGAAGTGGGTTGGTTTCTGTATGGGACTCTCCTAATTGGCTCTAACGACTAGGGACACATCAAAGCTTTGCTTTTGCATCCCTGGGCTACGCAAACACCACCACCAATGCTTATGGGCTTAGACTATCTTACTAGAAGCTGCACATATCAACTGTCCAAGATACACAGTTCTCCAATTGATTATACACTGTTCTGAAGGCGTACCTTGAAGCTACACTTGTTTCTGTGGATGAGGTAGGCCATGACAGCAGTGGCAGCGCGACTGATTCCCAGCTCACTGAACACCAACACACGCTCCGACTTCTTACGATGATCCTCTGCACACATTATGTAGTATATATTATATATATATATATAAATATATATATATAATACTATGACGATAAGAGGAGCTCCACGTATATTACACTGCATACAGTATTCACGAGATTGACGCCTCACGTTCTTACCGATAAACTCGATAATCTTGCCGAAGTGAGACCCCAAGTCCGACTGTGGCGCGTCCTCCACGTCAACGTGGAGCTCCTCGGTTGACTCGGGGAGGGCAGGGGGGAGCTCCCGCTCGTTACCCAGCCTAACGTGGGTGTGTATCTTGAGGTCATAGTTCAGCGAGGCGTTGTAGGCGTGTCTGTGGTCTCCGAGATACAGGAACAGCGGCATGATTTCGGAGGGATAGAACGGCAGATTGTTCAGCTCCTGTGATTATTACCATAACACAGTGACAAAATTTAAGGGGAAAACGTAGCAGTTTGGTACAATTTCACAAATCATAACAGTTTACGCAACTCTGAAATGGTATATACCCAAATGCCCAAACATTAAAGAGCTGGCGAAATTCACTCATATTATTATTTCCCCCCTTGAAATTTTCCCACTGAACAGTAGTTAAATATTACGTATATACCATTGGTGTGTACATTATTTTCTGTGTTCTCAGGAAGGGATACTCTGCTGAGAATCTCTCATATCCACCTGCAGAAAGGCTCTCTGACTATATCATCATCACTCACACGTGTAGTACATGTAAAACGCACCTTTCAATACGAGGACTGGGTTTTTGTTGCCACTGGCTGCTAGCTGGTTTGCCAGTCGAGTGGCTGGAGCTAAAGACACACACACACACACACACACACACATGACAAAGGAATAGCACCCTTTCCTGCTTTGGCAACAAATACGTATGTATAATTATAGGTACTACGTATGTAATGAGGTATGGTTCATACTAACTGTCTTCAATGACTGAGACAGTATTGCCGTCATAGACCACACAGTGAAGACAGGTGGGGAGGTGAGCACCAAATGGAATCCTGTACTTGGAGTCGTCGTTATTGGTGGTGCTCTTTTTTGCCAGCTTGGCAAGTTGAATGTGTCCTTCGTTGTAGTCATCATTGCTCCTAGTGTCTAAATGGACGGAGTGTGCCGTAGATAAACAGCCTCAGTAATGTACACAGTCCTACGTACCCAACAGTAGGAGGTAGGTCTCATCCACCACAGCTGGAGACCTGTCGCACTGTTTGTTCAGAGAGAGACGGAAGAAAGAGACGACGTAATGGGTGCCAATCTTGGTGCTCTCTTGCCTGTGTGAGGATGTTGTAGAGACGGGTCGGCTCGCAGAGAACGGTACCGGCTGATTGCAGCGACATTTAGCCTGGCTGTTGGTTGTCAGCTGAGATACACTGTTGCCATGACAACACGTGATACACGGGCAAAATCACGTGGGAGGCGCCGGTACACCAAAGGTCATTCAGCTGTTCTGAACGAAGAAGAGAAAATGCTGTCCAGAGCCGTTCTCAGGGGTTCTACGAGTTGCCTTCGCGCAGCTAACAGGAACTTCTCCTCCTCTTCCCAGGTACGGCAGTAGGGAAACCATCACACTTACCGCTGCCACCCTCTCTTCTCTCCATTTCTCTACTCCGAGCCAGCGTGGGCACCGAGTCGCCGTGCTGGGGGCGGCAGGTGGTATAGGCCAGCCGATGTCGCTGCTGCTGAAACAGAGCTCCTCTGTCAGTCAGTTGGCTCTCTATGACATTGTGGGGACACCAGGAGTGGCTGCAGACCTCAGCCATATCGAGACACAGTCTACGGTAAATACTCGCTGTACAATGCTCTATTTGAGTGTTTGAATTTCTTGTGGGAATGCAGGTGCAGGGTTACCAGGGAGACGAGGAGTTGGACGAGTGTCTGAAAGATTGTGATGTCGTCGCTATTCCGGCTGGAGTCCCTCGCAAACCAGGTCTCTCTCTCCCTGTCTCTATATCTCCTTTTATTGCCTCCATACACCTCTCTCTACTTCTCCTTCCCTTCTTCCTCTCTTTCCCATCCCTCCCTCACTCCTTCCCTACCTCACTCCTTCCCTACCTCACTCCTTCCCTCCCTCACTCCTCCCCTACCTCACTCCTTCCCTACCTCACTCCTTCTCTCCCTCACTCATCCCCTACCTCACTCCTTCCCTCCCTCACTCCTTCCTGGCAGGTATGACTAGAGACGATCTTTTCAACACTAATGCCTCCATTGTCCGGAATCTGGTGCAGGCCTGTGCAAGGTACGAAATCCCCTGGAAAACACCAGCATGCTAAAACTCTATTGTTCTTTGCTGAAAAAAAACGCCGCCACTATTTCTCCTCTTTGGAATAAAACTCAATCAATTAAGACTTTCGTATAAAAGCAATAAAAAGCACTGATGGCACCATGAACAAAGTTTAATGCATTCATGAAAGTTTTTCGCCCTGTTAAAGTTGCTGTTGTTTGCAGGAGCTGTCCCGAGGCAATGATCTGTATCATCACCAACCCAGTCAATTCTACTGTCCCCATTGCTTCTGAAGTTCTCGAGAAGGCAGGCTGCTATGACCCTCGCCGGTCAGTCTATCACATACTTAAAACACCACTCTCTTTATTTTTTGAGGTTGCATACTATTTTTTTGCAGTTTCACACGTACTACATACCCAGTCTAAATGACCTTTAGTGTGGTAGGGGCATAGTTAGCCAAAGTTCCGTGAAACTTCAGAATATTTGGAAGTGTTGCACTCTACTGTAGTTTTCCTTTTGCATTGGATACTAGGCTTGTTTCAGGCTGCAGGATGCGTGCGACTGCCTCCAAGTCAAATGGAAACTAGCTTGGGCTTTCTTTGCCTGCACAGTGTTAAAACCCACCTCCCCCGTTTCTTTCCCCCTCTGTGTCTTCAGTGTGTTTGGGGTCTCGACGCTGGACGTGGTGAGAGCCAACAAGTTTGTGGCAGACGCCAAAGGCCTGGACGTGTCCACGGTGACTGTCCCCGTGGTGGGAGGTCACTCCGGGGTCACCATTCTCCCTCTTCTCTCTCAGGTAACCTGTAATTACTGTTGTATGAGGGAGGTATATACTGTACCGTTCAGTGGATAAAATGTCTACAGTGGAACCATCCCATAAGGGACCCTCTGAGATAGGGACGACCTCTCTACAAAGGACACTTGTTTCAGCTCCATGCTAATACTTTTGGTGTATTATTTGACCTCTGAGATAGGGACGACCTCTCTACAAGGGACAAAATCATTAGCCACAAAGCGTCCCTTGTTCATACGTTCTACTGTATTATAATGTATGATGGAGATATATTCCATGAATTGTGTGGTATGAGATTTGTCCATTATTTGTGGGTTTGGGCCTCTGTATTACGGGAAAGCAATCTGTGGATGTTTTCTCAGCAACATTGTCATTTGTCATCAAATCAGGAAAGAAAAAATTTCCTAATTATATCATGTGGTAACTAGAATCTTGGCAGCAATCAATACATTTGGCAATTTGGTGGTCATGATCAGAATCGCTGTGCACCACTGCCAAATTACGCAGAGCGCTCTTTCGGGGAAGCCACTAAAATTTAATTGTTGAAAGTATTGACCCAATTTCAAAGCTCTTTCATTCGTAAATGGTGAAATGACTGCTCGTTTACTGTGTCACTCACAGACCACTCCAAGTGTTAGTTTCACGACCGAAGAACTGGATGCACTGACCGACCGCATACAGAACGCCGGCACCGAAGTTGTCAATGCTAAGGCTGGAGCAGTAAGCTGACAATAGTCCTTTGGAGTGGGATTTTCACATTTTTCCTCTCCCTTCTCTCCCCCCCTCACTCTCTCTCCCTTCTCTCCCCCCTCACTCTCTCTCTCTCCCTCCCCGTTACAGGGTTCTGCCACTCTGTCAATGGCCTATGCTGGAGCCAGATTCGTTCTCAGTGTTAGTATTAACCGTACACACTGGCCATGCCATGTGGGCTCCACATGGCACAGTCTCTGCTGGTAATGGGATACATTGTTCACAATGGGCTGGGAAAGGGGGTGGTGTGAATTGAGCTCTTCAGTTGCTAGATTCACACGTTTGTGGAGCAACTCCCCCAACACCTACAATGGAGTAAATACCAAACTTGTTCTGCCCCATTGTTCGTCATAAACCCCTTAATACCAATACCTACTCCCCCTCCATCTCTCATTACTCCCCATCTTCTCTCCCTATATTAGCTCCTCAAAGCAATGAGTGGCAGTCCAGATGTGGTGGAGTGTACATTCGTCAAGTCGGACGTGACCGACGCCCCCTATTTCGCAACTCCATGGCGACTCGGCAAAAACGGTCTGGAGCAAAACCTGGGACTTGGCTCTCTCTCAGACTACGAGAAATCAAAGCTTGAAGGAGAGGTGGGCCCTTTCGTTTGCAAATATCGTTGCAAAACCTTGTGTATTACGAGTGAATCTTGAGAGTTTTAATATTTTTGAAGTAGGGACTAGACTAGCAGTAATGACAGTCGGTGAGTTCATTTAACTTTGCCACCAAATGTATTCTCGATCGGTGTGTGTGTGGTGTGTGGTTTTTGTCAACGCAGATTTGCTGAAATAGCCAATGCTCTTAGTGGGCATATAGTTATATTATACCTATGTAGCTAAAACGATCACCTGCATATCTTGCTAGTCCGTGAAAATTTGGTGCTATAGGCCATCTCCTGTTTACATTCCTAGATATTTATTTAGTCTCATTGCTACATGCCTGTAAGGTGTGACGTAACTGACTTGTTGGATGGGGCGAGGTCCAAGGCAATAAACATACAGATACATACCTATTCATTGTCCAGAGGAATGCGTCCTTGTGGGAGAGATTGAAACTGATAACAAACCGGGCTAATCGTCATCACACACCTGTTTATGATTTTTATCACCAACAGTTTCAATCTCGTTCCCCTGCTCTCTTTCCTCTCCACCTCTCTTTCCTACTCCCCACATTTCTTTCCCTCTCCTCTCTCTCTCTCTATCTCCTCATCCTTCTCCTCTTATTCGCTCCTCCCTCTCTCCCTTCTTTTATTTAGGTGCTGCCTGCTCTGAACAAGGATATTCATAAAGGCTCGGATTTTGTGTAAAACATTGCAGTTAGCGTCTGATCATGATGTCTAGAACGAAATGTATACATATCACAGCACTCACGGCTATGTGATAATAATACAGTGACGATGTGTGTATCAAACCTGCTACCATAGACTTCCTCAACATGCCAGCGGCCCTTGCTTTGTATTAGCCAAATATACTGTACTGCTCACGGATCAGCTATGGTGGGCAAAATATAGAATGCTTTCTGCGGATGGTTTAATGCGTGGTCACACAAAAAATTAGAAATTCCAATAAGTGCACACCCTAGTACAATCGATCAGAGCTAGCAAGCAGTGCATGTATGGCACTAATGCATGTGAATAACAACATACAGGTATAATAATTATACTATGTAGCAAGATTATGATAATATGTATGCAACAAGTACGACATATATAGCTCTACGAACAGAGCAAAGTCAATGGTGCTAAGAGGACACAGGCCGTGTTCCATTGCCGTCAGTCTGCTGGCCTCTTCTCTGCGTGTTGCCTCGTGAACTCTAAGGCATTCTTATTGAATTTTGCACGGTCCTTTGTGAATTCCTCGGCCAAGTCCCCGCGCAGCGGATGTTCCGGCTCCGGTTCGTGGACCAGCGCCACTAGTGCCTGAATGACTGGTGTGTGTGTGTGTGTGCGTGAGAGGTAATGTTCATTCTGCTAAAACCACATCATTAGGTGCATATAAGTAGCTGTGGTATATACTATGGGCCTCCCCTGTTCCCGTGTTTGTGTGTGTCAGATACAAGAAACAGTCACTCTCCGAAAGGAGAAGAGCTACGTCTCTGATTAGTTTTATATCACACTGTGAGAACGACTTAATTGTTTTTTGGAAAAATGTACCGTAAGGGATTACCTTGCATACAAAAGTCTCCCTTACAAATCAGAGAGCATGCAAGCAAGAGTGGACAGGCAACCAATACCAAATTGCACACATTCTCTCTCAAGACGGGGGAAAACAGGGAGGACCTGTGGTTTTATGTGGCACTGAAGCACCGAGTATTCGAGCACACACCTTGATCAGTTTTTGTGGCCGGTTTCCAGTTCTCTGGGCTGATGATGGGCAGACACACCTGGCCCTTCTCGTCGATATTCGGGTGGTAGATCTTTGTCTTGAATGTAATCTGGAACAAAACTCAGACATGACGGTAGGTTCATAAATAACAGGACAGGTGTTTAGGCCGTCTTAAAAAATGTATTGATTACTGTTACAGGAAACAGGTTTAGGTCGTCCTGATAAGTGTCCTGATTACCGCTACAGGACAGATTTAGGTCGTCCTGATTTACCTTTGGAGGTTTGAACGGGTATTCTGCAGGGAAGACGATCTCTATTTTGAAGGCACCTCCGTTGAATGGTTCTTGATTCTGTAAAAACAGAGAGAGACAGAGATAGGTGTGGTGTGGGGGGGGGGGGGTAAGGGGTAAATTTTACTCTATGACCAACTGATCAGGGATTCTACCACAAAAACGGGCAAATGTCTCAAAATCCGAAATTTTTTTTCCAGCCGAGCAAGCTGCTTATCCTCTCCCTCAAAATGCCTTGGAATGAGGGCTACCTTCACCAGAGTCCATATAGTAACAGAACTACAGAGAACGAGAGTGTATTATATAGTACACACATTCCTACACAGGTGTAGCTGCACCACAATACAATACTTGATCCGTAACACCACAATATGATAGTGAAAACCAAACACTGTGTATATGGTGCAAGTGTGTGTACTACACTAGGAGAAGGTATATAGCACATTTACTAAGATAATACACGTTTTACAAACCCAAGTTGGACAACAGTGACAAATCGTCCAATCAGGTCATTTGGGGAGGAGCTTTTGAGCAAATTTGGCTAAATTTCAGGTATCCTTGTCTACTAACAGTCCCATATACGGAGGAAATGTAATATTGTCCTAAAATGACAGGGTCACAAGTGTGTTGGTGGGTGAGTCACAAACTTACAGGCACCACCAGCCCCTGCCAGTTCAAGATGTTGGATTCGTCGACAATTATGTTTCTGAATATCTTGGAGTTGCCGTCTCTGATCTCCTTTAGTTCCTGTGGAGGGATTACACAGATTGGAGAGTCATCACATGTCACATGCCTCATAGAAAGGGTAGATTGCGACGTGCAGCGCCAGAGGCCAGGCCGAAGGGGTTACTACCCTAATTAGAGCACCGCAGGAACTCCCACAAGTATTAGGCTAGGCACAACACGATCTTCAGAAGCCAACCCTCGTTCCCTCGCTCCCCCGCACCGGCTGACCGGCTACCGCGGCCTTAGAGACGCCTATCGAGACGAGTTGTGGATTGTGTACGCAACCAGACGTGGTCTCACGCTCACCTTGGCTAGCCTCCTAGTCGCAGCCATTCTTTTCCTCGTTCGTCCTCCCGATCCTCTGATTGCTCCACCAATGCGCATGCGCGTACCGAGCGCGCGCTAATTGCATGCAGTTATCGCATCCGCATTCCAAACAAAACTAGTGCAATTTGCGGTTGACGCACGGCGTTTTAGTGGGTGCGGCGCGGCGGGAAAAGATGGGCGTGTTCCCGCCTATATCTACCCGCCAAATATAACCGCTTTTTCTCCCAGAATCTCTTCATCTCCACACCACACACAAAAGGTGAATGGACCTCCAGATCCTCAGCAGTAATCCGGGGTGCAACGGAAGCTTCCTGCTCGGACCCTTCTCACCCTTCCCCTGTGACTGCGTCGTCGAGAAGATGACGGACTCTTCACAATTCTCGCTGGACGGCCTCGCCGAAGACGAGCCCGATTCTGTCCTTGTCTGCAAAGAGGAGGAAGAGGTAAGCTATAGACATACTGTAAATTGTCTTGGTAGTTCGCTTATTTGATGTGCAGAGCCTCGGAGCGTCGCACTATATAGTGCGATTCTGTGCGTAATCGTCGGGGTTTAACGATTTTTGTATGCTTTTTACAGAGCTCTCCTAAACCGATTCACTTGCAAGACGACAATATGCCCGCACCGGAGGAAAAGTGAGTGATCGAGTGCATCATTGTTACTTGAGGGGATAGCAAATGGGATGGCGTCCTTGTTTGAAGTATCCGAAAGGGGAAGCGTCGCGGGCAGATCCCGAGGCGACGGTCGCTAGCTAACGGTCCGTCGTTATCGGTCGCTGCACGTGTTGACGTACTGTTATTCATGTGTGACTGTTACATAGCTGCAGCCTACGGCTAGACCGCCCAGTAGTCTGTGGATAATAATATAGTGAATTTCTCGTCACACAAAGTCCAGGAGCAAACTCCCTTTCTTAAGAATTTAGTCTGTAGTTGTGCATGCTTCAAACGCCACGCCCACACTGATGGATTGCGACCTGACCATAAACTAGTGGAGAGTGTGTGCATAATATCCCATGTGTGTAAGTTTCTGTGTGAGGGCAGGTCTATGTAGGAGTTAATGGCATTAGACATTAGTTGATGGGCTATGCAGTGCATAATTTATCCTCTTCCACAAGTGCTGGGTTGTATAATTGATCCATACCAGGCATACCAGAGATGTAGGCCAGACACCCAAACTTGATTCCGTTCAGTTTCAATGACCCTCAGTTGTGTCTGAGGTGTCAGTTCTTGTGTTGTTTCAAATCTGGTTGCAATACCAGTCATTTTCAGCTTAGTCATGTTGCTTATTCATCCCCATATCCATGTTGTGCTTTGGGGGGACATTATTATGGGGAAAGATTATGATATTGAAACAGTTGGTAATAAGTGTGATGTAAATAAAGTCCCCATGTAGTAAAGAGTGCACACACGCTAATGCCCGTGATGAAATCTTGTTTTTTGTGTTTTGTTTTTCAGCCGAGAAGAATTCACACTCTCAGCGGAAACAGTCAACCCGACGTCTGAAAAGATCGGACCGGAGTGCTTCGACCTCCTAAAAGTGCTCGGGAAAGGCGGCTACGGAAAGGTACCCTGAAAGCTGTCCGTGTGGACTCAAACGCTTTGTCCTCATAAAGCCAATTGCTGCAGATTCGTTTCTAGGAATCAATTTGTGTGAATTGCCTGAGGCACTTTGATGCCAAGTATTCACAGAGATGCCTTTTGAAGTAAATACTTGACCAGTGTAGCATGGTGCAGTATGAGTCCCGGTTTGCTTCCTGTCGTAATGGCTGCTCAATGCCTAGCCGTGGTATGGGAGGAATGCGAGGAATTCGATGGCATGTCATACCACCTAGACGGTTACGTAATGGACCTTCTGCCAAAGGGACGTCACTGATCGACTCAGAATTACAGGAAAACCTCCTTATTTGTAGATCTGATTTGTTACTCTGTGACGTTTGATGGCTAAACACGCAGTGTTAACAGCTAAATGGCCATTGTAAATTGTCCTTTTACACGAATTTGTACAATCTGTGTCCAACTGTTCAGTGAGGTTGTAGCAAATGACGCTCTTAGAGCACGGCCCAAGTCTCAAATGGGCCGACAGTGCACTTAACCATGGTCTATACTGGCTCCTCTGATCTCCATTTGTACGCCGTCTGTCTGTTTCCAGGTTTTTCAGGTCAGGAAACGCACAGGGAAGGACGCCAACAAGATCTTCGCAATGAAAGTCCTAAAGAAGGTACATTCATAAATCTCTCTTTTTTTGCGGCAATAAGTATATTTTTTCAGTCGGTTTATTTTTCCGGGTGCAGGCAGCCATAATCAGAAGCAAGAAGGACACGATTCATACAAAGTCAGAGAGGTCAATCCTGGAGGCGATCAAGGTGAGGGTGGGCAAACAGGGCACACACTCCCTATAACAACATTCCACTGCTGAAGTGGGAGTGGGGGGTGAGTGCTTGTGCACCATCCATAGATAAGAAGATGTGACTGTAGTACATAGCTAGAGGGCTCTCCTACTTGGGGAGTGTGTGTGGATAGCAGGCGTGCAATTTCACCTCCCTCTCCCCCCTCTCCCTCCTTGTCCACTCTTGTGCTAGCTGAATACAGGTATAAACGGGCTGACTACTCCCACTATGTAGTGAGCATAAGCCAAAATCTGTGGGTCCGTATGCTACAGTGTCCCCTACCCTCTGTAGATTTTTTTAAATTTTTGTCCATTCATCAGTGGATGTGTATACCGATTTTACATGTAACTTACACGACTGCCGATAGTTTTAGTTTAGCAATTTTGCATACAGCTACACAACCGCATTAATGTGTGTAACGAGATTACATGATGTACATATTATTACCAACTTTACAACGAATTGTAGTTTTCGGAGCAACTTGTCTCCATCTTGTTGTAACAACCACCGCACACACGAGGGGGGTGCACCTGCTAGCAATAAGGCAGCAATTGTGCACGGAACAAGATTCTACTTCCTAACCAACACACATTCACTTCCTTTTGACGGTAAATCTTTCAAACCGTGTCTCTCTCTCTCTTTGCAGCATCCGTCCATTGTCAGTCTCCACTATGCATTCCAGACACACCACAAACTCTACCTGATCCTGGAATACCTGAGTGGTAAGCCAAACTCCCGTAATTACCCCACTCTCTCCCTCACATATACCTAGAACAACCATTATACAGGCATAGTATAGGGGGACCCACCATACTCTACGCCTTGAATATCTGTGGGAAGTGCTACGTTTCAGATAACCGGTCCCTTTGTCCTTTTGTGGGTCTGGGACGACTACTGCAATTTCAGCTACGTTTACATGTGCCACACTAATGTTTCGTGTTCCCCTAATGTGGGTGTATAAATGCAGGCCTTCTCGGAAATGCACCCAGGAAAAGCGCAGGAAACTGTGCATGTTTCTAGTACACTCCCTGCACGTGTATATACTTGTGAGGGTGTCAAGTATGCCTAACATCTGAAGTATGCCTACGCGGTGCATTGCCTCCGCTGCTGGCTGTTTTCAATTCCTACACGTGTTGGTATTGCCTCCAGTGGGGCTACATATAGTGGTGTGTGCCTCAGTGAAGGTTTTTTTAAAATATGTGTGTGTGTGTTTTGTGCAGGAGGGGAGCTGTTTACCTTGCTGGAGAGAGAAGGAGTGTTCCTGGAAGATTCAGCTAGGTAATGCGTGTGTTTGTGTGTATGTACGTATAGTGTGGTTATGAGACCTTGTTTTTATTCCGTCCCCTTCTCAGAGCTAGACAATATCGTCTTTGTTGCGGTTTTAGACTAACTGAACTCTCTTCCCATGCAATGCCCCATAGACAATCTCTGTACATACTCTGGTGTTAGACTTTGCAATACTCTTCCCATGCTGTGTATATACTTAGGCTACTCAATCCACCTTATTATAGTTAGCCCACTGTTCAATAGCATCTTCCTTCCTGCAAGCTATTCCTAGAGCTGTTTATGTAAGCCAGACAATCTTCCTGTGCGGAAGACGGTAATGCCTGTACTGTAGCTCTATATGATCTCAATGAGAGCACGTGGGTTGCATGTGCTGGTTGCCACTGGCAGTAGACGTGCTGAAAGGAGCTGTTCAACTATTTCCCCTCTCATGCCATTGATTGTTGCCTGTATTCCCAGCCAATGTGCGAACCAGTCTCTTTTCTCCCATTGTCCATGTGGTCAATCACACCTTTTGATACCCTCGCTCTCTCCCACACTATCTCTTGTGTCTGTGTCTGTTTTATGTTCAGCCAATAGTGCTCCCACACTCTATCTTGTGTCTGTCTGTGTGTGTTGTGTTGTGTTGTGTTCGTAGCCCATAGTGCATGGAGACCAACAAGACCAACAATGTGTGAGCGAGGGAGAGTTTCTGTTACTTCTGTTTGTTTTCATTTCTTGCAGCTTCTATCTGGGAGAGATCACGCTCGCTCTCGGCCATCTTCACAGCAACGGCATCATTTACAGGTACATTATCACTTGTACACAGTGTGGGAGAGAGAAAGATAAAGAACTCTGCTTTTGTCTGGCCAGTCAGTTCAGAAGTCCAGTTCACCAAGCACTCAGCTACAACCCCCATACAAAAAGCCCAGTTCTTCCTTGTTTCCCTCCAATATTCCAAGTTTGCACACAAATACCCATGTAGCGTGATATTGACCCCGGCGGCCTTTGATCAATTTACCCCCTCTGTCTGTGTTTGCCACCGCTACAAATCACCGTTCAAACTGTCGGGCGACCTCGTGCAAAAGGCTACATCCGAGTTCACAATGACGACCATGCACCGACGACAGCCACAAAGGGACGGGTGTACTTGTCACGTCCCTCTGAAATCTGTTTGGCAACCACGTACATGTGCGTCTGCTCCACACACCGTGCTGTGTGTGTAACCAAGCTCTTGTGTGGCGGTGTTAGCTGCCCTTTTAGTTAATGGACTGTGAAAGTGGAACCTGGTGTTTGGAAACACTGCCTTTTCCCTTTTTCCGTCAGCGCTTTGCCGAAAACGCCTCAGTCCCAGAGACAAATTCACAGTAAGTGTGTAAAGCAATTGTTGAAAGTGGCCAAAAGCTGGTTTATTATGCTGGCATTAGGGCATCATTACTTGATGTGTGCACCTGGCTGGCATGCACTAGGGCACAATCTTACTCAAGACGTGTGATGCAAGAGTTTTAATCTTATGCAACAGCTTACAGGCGCTTATGACTTATGGGGTCTCTGCTTTGCGAGTCCCTAGCATGAAAAACCTACAGCCTTATGTCATCCACCGATCTTACTGTAACTTTTAATAGGCGCTTGTGTCTACTGCTTCTTGTATAATGGTACTGCCTTTGTCGTAGTGTGTGCACTTTATGTAAAGGACTTTCTATGGCCTAAAATAAACATGTTGGCATGGTCAGGCTCTGCGTGTTTCCTACATGTTTCCACTACTGGTCCGTTTCCCTGGGTACAGGACCATAAGGGGAGATACTGCCGTCCCCCACTCCGACATCAGCCAAACTTTCATACACACACACACACACAAGAAAAGACCGGCTGTCTGACCTTTGTGATTACTGCCAGTTCGCAAATAAGTCTATTTTTAGAAGCACCAGACAAATTAGACGTGCATTAATGTCCACCACATGTCTATTTTTAGAAGCACTAGACAAAATTAGACATGCCTCAATGTCCAAGATTTCGCTTCGTGTCTATACCATCTTTCGATCACTCCATGTACACTATGCATGTACACTATGCATGTCCATTATGTTGGCTCACTCACATTCATACATACATGGCTATATACTCTTCCCCATAATAAAGGCATAGGGCCCATAGGTAGGTTACTACAGTTTATTGTGCCTGCCTGGACTATCATACTCTACTATACACATCTGCACACACTTGTATCGCTGGTCTCCTTGTATCATGTGTGTGGATTCTCAGAATAGATAGTGCTGTCACAACACTTTCACTTTGTGTCAGGGTCACGCAAAACCTGGAAACTCTGAATAACTCCCAAATATACTCTCTCTCTCTCTCTCTCTCTCTCCCCTCTCTCGCAGAGACTTGAAGCCGGAGAACATAATGTTGAATAGCGAGGGACACGTGGTGCTCACAGACTTTGGGCTCAGCAAAGAATCGCTCTACGGAGACGCCACGACACACACTTTCTGTGGAACTGTTGAATACATGTGAGCCACCCACCCATACATCCTGCACGGGCAGTAAGCAGCATATATTATCCTCTGGCAACAGATGTAGATAGCGTGTGGTGACAGACCTTACACGTATAGGGTGTATGTACCCTGCCAGTAGTGTTCTATGGTGAAACAGTGCCGCTTGAGTTTGCAAACTCTGATGGCAGTAGGTAATCCGGTTGTGTCCCTAGGTGATACCTCCCCATTCTCTGGTAATGGCCCTTGAGACTAACCACCACGTGGTCCAGGTATTCCCCCTTATTGCACCACGTGGGCTGGTGGTGTTGTAGCTAGTGATCTTGTGGGTTCACAGAGGGATGCAGGGCCTATCACAACTGAGGGTAAGGATCCAGGAAGCTGGTTAGCTCTTCTGCTAACTGAGTGGGAGACAGGATGGCTAGGTCCTCTCCTAAGAGGTGAAGGGGAAGCCCCTGGTGATTAGTTGGTGGCCTCATTGTTCAAATAATGGGACAATAGACTTCCCTATAGTTGGTATATAGAATTCTGTAGAAATCTGCAGGTGGTGATGGTATATTATGAGTACACTTTAAACATGACTGTGTACAAGTATCTGTAAACATGCATGTACTCTGCTGATGAGGTGTGCCAATCTGTCTCCTCCCACCAACACACAGGGCACCGGAAATCCTCCAGAAGACTGGCCATGGAAAGAGCGTAGACTGGTGGAGTTTGGGGACCCTCGCCTACGACATGCTGACTGGAGCAGTGAGCTCTCTTCTCTCTTCTCTGCCTCTCTTTCTGTATATTATATACCTGGCCCTTTGGTGTGAAACCATCCACTGACTTGCATGATTTCCTCTCCAATGGAAGACATCCTCTGAAAGGGGGAGCTTCCTGGACTAAAATCCAGCTTTGTATTAGAGCCTGCAACCACTGAAAGTTAACTGAGACCTATAATAGTTACAATTCCTGGAGGAAGGGAGGGGATGAGGCAACAAGTATGTACCCAACAAGAGGTGGTTTGGTAGTAGTCTTCACAGCTTGTATAGTGCACACTGGCTATCTATCTATACCCAGCCTGCCAGCCACTGCCTTATCTCCACTGCCATTTCAAACAGACAGACATCTGGCTGGCTAGCTATATAGCCCAGTGTGTGTTCTGGCTTTTTCATAGCTGTGTAAGTTGGTTTCGAGGGTGGCTGGTGGCGTGTTTAGCTAGCTCGCTTTGGTCCCTCCGGTGTGTCTGGGACAAAAGAACAAGAAACACGATTTACGACTGCTGTACCTAACGTGGGATAAGGCTAATAATATACGAGGCTGGGCTCTAATACTGTAGCAGCTGGTGGTGCCTAGCGCCTGTGGTTATGTTTGAGGCCAAGGAGATGTGCAGAACCACTGCCTACAGCTTCCCCTGCCCTGGCCTCTGTGGCTACTTCTCCAAGTCACCACGACACACCACCCCCTCTTGTCTCCCTGGGATAAACAAGATCTGCATGAGTTTCGTATCTGTGGACGTTTATCTGTTTCGTTGGAGCCTGAGTTAATGACCGAATGTCTCATTTTACAGCCTCCATTCTGTGCCGAAAACCGAAAGAGAACGATAGACAAGATACTCCGTTCAAAACTAGTTTTCCCCGGCTACATCACTGTCGACGCCAAAGACCTCATCAAGAGAGTAAGCCCCTGCTTAATTACCTCATTAGCTCTGCTAGCCACCTTAGCGCATGTGAACTAACTGGCTCACGCCATACAGAGAAAGAAATGACAGTGATGCATACATACATTATACACTGACTAGGTACTGAGTATGGCTGATATCTTGTGTTTCAAACCTCTCTTTTCTCAATTCCCACCTCCAGTTACTGAAGAGACACCCACCTAACAGACTGGGTAGTGGGCCCAAGGACGCCACTCCTATCAAGGTATGGCAGCCCCCCCATCGAGGTTGACATGTGTAGCTTGCATGCTACTACCTTGAAAGTGATGTATTTGTGTTGGTTATTTTTCCATTAACAAACATCCGATCATGCATGTTGTGTTGCATATACTTTACTCTCTCCCTCCCTTCTCCTCTCTCCCTCCCTTCTCCTCTCTCTCCTTCCATCTGCTCCTTCTCTCTCCCTCCTTCCTTCTCCTCTCTCTCCCTCCCTTCTCCTCTCTCTCCTTCCATCTGCTCCTTCTCTCTCCCTCCCTTCTCCTCTCTCTCCTTCCATCTGCTCCTTCTCTCTCCCTCCCTTCTCCTCTCTCTCCTTCCATCTGCTCCTTCTCTATCCCTCCTTCTCTCCCTCCTTCACCAACAGAACCACTCATTCTTCAGAAACATGGACTGGGACGGTCTGTTGGCTCAGAGAATAGAACCTCCCTTCAAGCTGGGCATGGTGAGTCTCGTTAGGTTTTCTACAGCTCCAAGTGGGTGGGCTAGACAGAGTTGCAGGAGTTGCAGCTTGTAGGTGCAATTATCAGGCACATGATAGATGAATTCTCCAGGAGCTGCGTCCTCTCATTCCAGACTACATGAACCCTGTCCCAGTCTGTCTAGACAAGATTTATGTTTATTCACATCTCCAGGAGCTTACTATACTGCTTCCCCAGACTACATGAACCCTGTCCCAGTCAGTCTAGACAAGATTTTTGTTTATTCACAGAGAGTTACTGGGTGTTGATAAGTGCTTCCCTTGTGACTCCAATGAGGGACAAGACAGCATACTACCCACACCTCCATACATGCATAGGTCCCCCCCACTACATAAAGGCACATACTGTGGGATAGCATAAAGGGGTTTTGATATCCCTGAGGTTGCACCATTGTGTGTGTTCAAGTGACATGAGACTGCCATGTGACTCTCCTATTGCTACACCCAGCAAACTACAGTCATGAGGTAATGAGGTCACGACTTCCTGTCTGCTAAGGTCTTGTACTAAATCTATAGCCAGCCCCTCCAAAAATAGTAACTGGAATGTACGGCTGACCTAATAGGATGTATCGGTGCATCATGGGCCTATTCACAGTACAGTGGTACAGCGTGATCTCATTCATGGGCCATGTGTAGTGGGCTGGGATGCATTTATACCACTTAGACAAAATGAATGTGTGTTGTAACGTGTGCCTTGTTCTGTATTCATGTGTGTGTGATGTACTCTGGAGGGGGAGGCAGCATTTGGGATTGGTACCTTGTACCTAGACAGCAGGCAGACATGGTATACGTGATGTTTGTTACGTATTCTTCTGTAACCATGGTAATGTTTGGCAGTGGTAGCCTAGGAGATGGATAAACAGAACACACACACAACGTGGGGGTCGTGCCTGATCATGCCTCGTGACTGTTGCTATTTTGGGGAGGCCGTAACACGTGTTTGTTTACTGCTCTTTGTCCTCACAAACAACACTTAACGAAAACATGCTCCACTGTAGCCAATAGTTGTCATACTCTTCACTTTAAAGTACATGTATATTCTACTATGGGTAAACAGTCTCTTGTCAGCCTGTCAGCTCTTGTCTACTGACTCCTAAGCTGACAATATGACAAGTACATAAGTTTTAAACACTCCCTCCTCCCTCTCTCTCCTCTCTCTCCTCCCGCTCTCTCCTCTCTCTCCTCCCTCTCTCTCCTCCAGTCATGCGAAGAAGACGTGAGTCAGTTTGACAGCAAGTTCACAGAACTGACACCAGTCGACACACCAGTTGACTCCAAGATCAGCGACAGTGCAAGCCTCACGTTCCAGGGATTCTCAGTACGTGGCACCTTCTCTCGTGGCAGAGGAGCTGGAACTGAAGCAAAGACCGAGGTGAGGATCGGTTCTTGGGAGACAGCACACAATATGGGCTGGGATTTAGGATACCTCACTGGTATATAGGACGTCCCGATTGGAGCATACTCTAAATATCAGCACAATTTGACACTGTTTATGACACCTTGTGGTTAGTAGGGCAGCTCAATCTTAACATGCCACGGCAGACTTCACTGTTTAAAATGTCCCAGGGCCGCCTCAATGATCAGGATGTTGGTAATCAGGTCATTGGCTCTGGTGGGTTAGATAGAAGCCAAGAGTAGGTCTAGTTGTACTTCCTTCCTTTCTGAGGCGCCAGAGTGTCCTGGTCACCTGGTCACCTCCTGTCACTGTTTGTGTATGAGGGTGAAGACGTCCTGTCAGTGGGCGGCTTGCTCATCTTCCTCCTTCATTGTCCTCTCTTCCTCCTCCTTCCCTCTCTCTCTCTATCCCAGGTCACCCAGGAAGGGGCTCATGTCTCCGAGACTTAAATCTGCGCCCACAAAACAAGTTTTTGGCTTCCCCCTCCCTCCCGGCTCTGTGACCTCCATGACCCCTGTCGTATCTTCTTTCCACCCCCTCGAATCTCAGTTACCGCCCGTAGTACCGATGAAAATTACGTCAACTGGTTCTGGATCCAGTTCTGGGATATCGGATGAGGACAGTACAGACTCCACCCACTCCCAAGAGGAGGGCCCTGGTTCCCGTGGAAACAGCGACAACAGACGATGTCGTAAGGGGAGTCCCCATTCAGTGTCTCCACCCATCGATGTGGTGGGACCATTCCAAGCAACAACCAACAGAAGAGTAACTCCACCCAGTAGTAACAGACCAGGTCACCTGCGGCTCACATGACAAAGGACGATGTCATCACGACATCATCACACGTGTGTAATCATGCAGGCAGCCAATCATTTTTGTCACATCTTTATTTATTATCATCTGCACCTCGACTGTACAGACAGCCAGCACACAGCCAGCAAGCAAAACAGAGAGAAATATTTGAGTTCATAGAAGGGAGCTATTATAGAGAGAGTTGAAGAGATGTTGAAGCTATTATTTTTATTTATTGTATATACAAGTATTTTATTTATTGTTGATGACTGATCAATGAACGTTTCGAGACACAGTGGCAGAGCGAAGAAGACACGTTAGCTGCTGTCGAGAGGTTCAAGACGGCTGAGAACCCGTTCTGCTCAGCTACACATACATACAACGAAAGATGCAATTTGCATGTGCCAATCACGACAACATTGAAACTTACGTGCTTAGTTTGTTTGGAAGGAGTCGTAAAATGACGATGAGTAAAAAGGATAAAGCCAATGAGTAAAAACGAGTTGTGTTGTTTTACCTTCACAACGTCGACCCAGTCCCATCCTCTTGGTCTCTCTCCTTGAGCATCTAGTATAAGTAGAGAATGTACAACTCAGCAGCATTGGCTAACGAATCCCCAACAAAGACATAATTACGAACTCTCATTGTAGTATATATACGTAGCTGAGGATTGAGGAAGGCCTAGGCTAAACGTCCGGTATTTTCTGCTTAGTTTTCAGCTCGACTGAAACTCACTCATTCTGTCGGCCATTTTTCTCTTGGCTCTCTTGGTCAGCACCTCCTTTTTCTCTCTTCTCCTCTCGTTTCCTTCTGCCTCTCCCCTTTCCACACCCACCCCCCCTATCTCCCCCTCCCCCTCTTCTCCTCCCTCTCTCCCTCCTCTCCCTCCACAACCTAGCTCGACAAGGCTGAATGTAGAGTGAGTCCAAACCTTCAAAACTTACCTTATCACTTGGCATCAGAGCCAAGAGATCTTGGGCATTGTCTTGAGCATACTGTATCAGAGAATACGTCATTGGAGAGCCCAACAGGACTTCAGCCTGAGAGGGGGGAAGGCAGAGTACGGTAACGATTTATACGAAACCAAATTTCAAGCCAAATTTTAGTTCTGTCGCTCGATCCTGTGACATTATGTGTTACATAAACCATGTCCAATATACGTATATATATATATATTATGTGTTGATAAAGCGCAAGACCCGAGGGTACATATGGTCTCATTGAGACTCTGTGAAAGCAAAAAAACAGTACAGTAAACCTCTACCTCTTTCTTCAAAGCTTCAACAATAGCCTTCTTGCTTTTCTCGGACCTAGACATACAGTCATAATACATTACATCATTACAACATAGTTTGTACATGTTTTTGTTGTAGAAAGAGTTGAGGGATAATCTCGGCATCTCGTCTGGGTACCCTCCCCCCCACTCCACCTCTATCATGAAGGACTGGGGGTGCCCCTTCTCTCCAACCTAATCAACAGCAAAACAATAACACCGCCTTACCCCCTTCCACGCTCAATGTTCATCAAACTAACACTGTGCTATATGTGGGGGTTAGCATGGCAATAATGCATTTCACTAAAAAGAGGATAATGTCAACATCATTCTGAATCCATTGTATGTTGGTAAAACACTATTGTGTGGGTTTTGTGTGCTCCGCATTATACTCTGTAGGCAAAGGAAGTTGGTGACAGTTGAGTGAAGCTATCGTCTGATTCATAGATGGATGCCAGGACTTCTCTCTCTTCCTGTGGGGAAACTTTCGGAGCTACATGTATACAGTCGACGTTGGTTTACCTCCTGAGCTTCTTCATTCGTCATACTCGGAGTTATACGGTTTCCCTCCCACACGTTCACGGTCCCCGACACCGGAGCAGTATACGGAGAAATATACGAATGACGTAGTGCAGGGACGATCGATCCGCGATCGCGCGCGCGGCTCGCTGCTGCGCGCGCATGTCCCTCGTGGACGACGGGTTCAGGTGAAGGAGAAAAGCGAGGATGGCTTCGTCGCAGGCGCAGGCAGAGATAACTGAGCGGCGGCTGAGGCCGCTGTACGGTGAGGAAGAGGCAGCTGGTCTGCCGCGCACTCTCCACCTCCCAACACGCCAACATACCGTCGCTGAAAGTACTGCTGTGTCCCATAAGTGAATGGTGCTTGTATGCGGGGGTCTAGTCGTGTACACGACTCTATACAGCCCATTGCCTGTAGTACAGACAGGCAGAAACTTGATCTTGAAAAAGAGGCGAACGTATGTCACTCTGTTCTGTCCAGATGCGATAGACAATCGACAGAACAAGAAGGCACTGCAGATAGCGGACAAGATCATAAAGAAACAAGAAGATCTCTACTGTGCAAAGGTGTGCAGATCCTTTTGCTGACCAATATCGTGATCAGAACATTTTAAAGTGTCCCTGATTGGTACATGCATCGGGACGTGAAGAGTATGTGTCCTGATCACTTTTATTATCAGGGCACGTGTCTTGATTAGTGTGTATGTCAGGACACTTATGAAGTTGGTTAACAGTGAGGTGTGTCCTACAATTCTCTCGAGCATGCCAACTAACCCCTTTTTTACATTCCAGAGCTAAAGTAGTTTGCGAAAGTCTTTAGTGCTAGGTATACGATGTATAGTATAAGGCTGCTGCTACTACATGTTTAGGCGCTGAAGGCCATAGTGTGTCAACGGATGGGGCGACAGGAGGAGGGGAATTCCCTGATTGACGAGGTCGTCAAGGCATGCCCCGGAGACCAAGCCACTCTACAGGCTGCCACAATGTACTACCGAGAAACCGGAGACGGTGCGGGTTGGTGTCACCTTGTCATTGAATGTCTGATTTAACCCTCTCTCTTCCTCCTCCTCCTCTCAGCCTCGTACCCAGAAGAGAGGAAAGGGTGTGGTAATTTTGAGTGGTTTTTATTTCGGTTGTCCTGACTCCCCACTGCATGCACAAAAACTGTTTTTATGGACACACAGTTGCATTACAAATCATTGCATAACATCAGGCGATATTTCACACTGGTGACGAATACTGCAATCTGATTGGATGCCTCGATAATAGACTGTCTATTCAGCAGCACAACCAAGAAATCGCTAGAAAGTCACCAGACCTTTTTCTCTCTTGAAGAGGTTCAAGACTACCCTCTCTCTCCTTTCCATCCAGAGCCAAAGGTGGTGGATCTGTATACCCAGGCAGCGGAGCAGTACCCTGGGAACCAGGAGATACTCACCCACCTCTTCATGGCCTTTGTCAGAGTCGGCAATTACCACAAACAGCAGCAGGTGATCGACCAATCCGATTGCAGCGTTCTAGATCTAATTTTCTTTCCCTCAATTGTTTGTATAATCTGTTTGCCTGCCTGTCTGTTGGTCTAGACGGCACTCCAGCTACACAAGGCATTCCCTGACAATGGCCCGTACTACTGTTGGAGAGTTATGAGTATCGTCATGCAGGTTTGCCCCAAATGACACACACACACACGCACTGTACATGTCACACATGACCAGTCGGTCGACTAGGCAGCGTACCCACCAGCCGAACATTATCAACACTCCCATCTACAGCGTGTACATGTGGACGTTTGTTTTCATGTAAGAGATGTAAGAGAGTTGTATGTCGACGTGGCTCTCCAGGCACACAAGAGTACCGATGGGAGTCTAGCCAACTCCATGTTCCTGCCACTTGCCGAGAAACTGATGGAGAAATACGTGGCTGAAAAGAAACTGGACGTCGAAGAAGGTTTGCTCTCTCTCCCCCCTCTCTGTCTTTCTTCACTCGTATCTCTCTTCTTTTCTCATTCTTCATACTGTATATACTCTCTTATTATTCCTTATTCTTTCTCGTGTCTTGTTGTGAATGTTGTGATGCTGTCACAGTTTGGACGATGCTGGTAAACTATGACCAGCCTATGATTTCAAAATGTTTTCTGAACATTCAATCACTGAAGTACAATACAACAGTAACATAAAACACTTCATTATTGCACTATTGTCCACCCTCTCTCTCTCTCTCTCTCACTCCCGCTATTCTCAAAGCAGAGGTGAAGCTCTATCTCATGGTACTTGAGAAGCAGGGGAAACCAGAGAAGAGACTGGAAGTTGTTCAAGGTCCACTTGGTCAGTATAACACCCAACACCCTACCCTCTCCACAGCATTTCGATGTGGTGGTTTGAAGCATAAATTTACTAAACTCAAAGTTGCACCCACAAAGTTTTTGCAGGGCCCCTATCTTAGTGCCCACTATTAACCAATGCGAAAAAAAAATTTGCACACTGAATCAAGTTGAAAATATTTCCCTTCCGTCTTACAAATTATCTCAAAATCTCTTTAAAAAACATGCACATAAACGCCCATCTCTCCCTCTTTCGTGCACACTCCCACGTACCCGGTGAAGGTAAACTGATTCGCAAGAGAGAGGAGCGGAATCGTCTGGAGCTGGAGTGTCACCTGTCCCTCCAGAGATGGGACGACGCTGTTCGCCTCTTGACCGCCATGCTGAGAGAGAACCCAGATCATTGGAAAGACATTGAGGTCTACATCTCCTGCCAGATTGAGAGGTACAAGGAGTCGGTGAGAGAGGCCAAGGAGGAACACGAGATGAAGAAGAGGGGGAGGGAGGGGTCGAGAGGGTGTGAGGAGGAGGAGGAGGAGGGGAGGAGAGGATGTGAGGAGGATGAGGGGAGGAAGAGGGTGTGAGGAGGGGGAGGAGGGGAGGAGAGGGTGTGAGGAGGGAGGGGAGGACAGAGTGTGAGGAGGGGGAGGAGAGGAGAGGGTGTGAGGAGGGGGAGGGGGTTGCGCGAAAAGAAGAGGTGTGGGAAGGGAAGGGAGAGAAGGAAGAGGAGGAGGGATTAAATCAAGTCAACGAAGGAGAAAGTGAAAATGAAAGGTTGATACCAAGGTCTGTGGAAATTGTGTTTACTTAAGTCTTTGCAACAAAATGCTTTGACTAATTAAAACTTGACGAAGAAAAGGTTTGGGAATTTGGTCAGCACGTGCATGGTGTGCAATAACCAACTTCCACTATTTAGTTACTGCCTCTTCCCTCTCAGTACACCCTCTTCTAAGCCGCTGGTCGATGCGCGAGGCCTTCTCGAGGAGTTGCGAAACCAGCAGCCGTCTCCTCCGCCTCGCTCCACCCAAACTCCGCCCACTGCACACCCGCTGAGGGGTCCATTTCTAGGACGACTGGAGATGGTCAAGCAAATCACACAAAATGGCCTCCAGAATATCCTTGAGCTCCGTGAGCCCCCCATAATAATTAGTCTGACCCCTCTAATTATTGCCCCCTGGAGTTTTATTGGGGGCCCCCTTCGATCAGCTCCAGGCATTTGAAGTTTGTTATCATTTCAGCGTCCCCTGCTACCCTGCTACTGGACTATTTCTCCATGTTTGGAACTAAAAGCTGCTGCTTCGACGACCTACGGAGTTACTTTGAATTCTTCTCTCCTGATGAACTGAAGAAGGTGTGTCGCTGAAGTCTCTGCTTGGTTATCGTTTTGTGCATTTCCCTCTGCTTCCTCTCTCTTCTATCTCTCCCTCTCTCGTCCCTCTCCTTTCTTTCACTCCCTCTCCTCCCTCTCCTCTCCCTCCCTCTCCTCCTCCTCTCCTCTCTCTCCTCTCCCCCTCCTCTCTCTCCCTCTCTCTCCTCCTCTCACTCCAGTTCATGGTGATGGCAGAAGCCAAAATCGCAGAGAACCCGATCAAATTTGACTGCTCTGAGAAGGACAGGAAACGAAATGTACTCTCTCTTTCTCTCCACCCTCTATCTTACTCCACTCTCCTGTTTTCATATTTCTCCTCCCTCTCCCCCTCCTCTCTCCCTCTCCCCCTCCTTCTCCTCTAAGGTCTCAATCCTACGCAGACAGATTTCAATGATGCAGCTCCAGCGCTACTGTGGTCTCCATGGGAACCTCTCCCTGGACAAGAAGCGCGACCTCGTGCTGCTGTGTAAACATCTCTACAGGGAAGGACTGAAGCTGGCAACGGGGGTCCCCGAGACTGACACGAAGCCGGCAGATTTCTTTGTAGTTTTGGCCGTGCATCTACTGATTGAGATTTACGTTGAAACAAGTCAGTAGTTACTAGAGAGAGAGAGAGAGAGAGAGAGAGCGGGAGAGACAGATGGAGGGAGAGAGAGAGAGAGAGAGAGAGATGAAATGAAGCGAAGTGTACTCACGTGCAAGTGTGTGGACCAATGACCTCTCTTCCCCAGGGGAGTGGAGAGTATTATGGCAGGCCATTCTCCTGTTGGAACATTCTCGCAGTATGAAAACCACGAATCCTCAGATTTTGCTCCTCCTCCTCAAACTGTATGGCTTCCTCGGAGCCGCGGAGGGAATCACTGATATATTTGAGTCTCTCAATATAAAACACCTCCAGATGGAGACTCTGGGGTAAGACGGGGTACTGGAGTAAACTGGGGTGAGGGGTGAAAACTTTGTTGGAGTAAGGATGGGGTACTGGAGTAAGCTGAGATATGGGGGAACTTAGGAGTAAGGGATGATTGCAACTCTGGGGTATGGGGGGACTTTGGAGTAAGGGGGGAAAAAACGTTGGCATAGTGATATGGGGTGAGGGTAGAAAATCTGGGGTAGTGGGGGGAAATCTGGGGTAAGGGGGTAAAAATGCTAACTTGGGTCTCTCTCTCTCTTCCACCAGCTATATTCCACTGAGGTATCTCCAGGCATCTGTGCATTTGGTTTCACTAATCAACTCTATCGCTCTGCACTTCGCTTCTACTACAGCTGTGCCAAGGAGGTATATATGGAGGGGGCCTGGCTCAGGAAAGGGGGTGTGGCTTAAAGAAAGGGGTATGGCTTACGGAAGTTGTTGAGATGGGCAAGTAATCAGTGTAAATATTCAAAAGTTAGATTATGCAGCTGTCTGTGTATTGAGCTACCGTAAAAGACCGCCTCTTGAGCAGTTTTTCTCAAACTGTTGTGAGATTGGTGGACTCTCGGTAGCCATAGCAACCTCTCGTATTATAACAGAGTGAGCTCCAAATAGTGCACACCCTGTGTCGGAACGAGAGAACAAGTAATTGGCGAGCGAAGTGAGCCCACCTAGTTGTCTGAACGCGAGGGTTTTCTATGTGATGGACACTGCACGTCAGTACCATCTGTGCAAAGAATTGTACTTCTCGCTCGCCAAAAATGTGTTCGTTCTAGTCACTACGATCAGTTGTGTTTGATGTTTTTTTGTTTTTCCGTCATAGACTTCAGAATATATCGTTCAAGCGTACAAAAACGGGATGTTTCAAAAGGTTTGGAGCAATTTTTGTTGTGCAGAGCATGATGACCGTATACATCTCTCCCTCCTCCCTCCCCCGCCAACCCATGGCTCTACAGATACTGGAGTTTGTCGGTCTGAGAGACAAGTTATCTCATTCTTTCAGTTTTGCCTGTACACTGGTCGACATGAATCTTCTGGAAGTGGTCACTTCCATTCACAGGTACATGTACTTTGACCGTCCATATCCCTATAGAGTTTCCACCCGCCCTTACTCCAATGTCTCCACCCCTATCCCAGCTTTTACACTACACTTTTTGCTAGTTTTGGCACTAGAAATAGCCAAGTGTGTGTACCTACTCAAACCGCATTACTTGTGTTTCATCTGTGATTGCTCAGTATGGAGAAGGCACGACAGTTCTTCAGTAGAGATTGGTTCAGTGGTCTACCTTCCTCGGGCCCTGCACTGCACGGTGAGTTGATGTGTCCGTATCACTAAGTACTGAGTATATAGGGATGACACAGGTTGCCCTGCATTATGCCCATACATTGAGATTTTCATGTTTAACTTTTTAAACAATGAGCATTTGTGGTGAGGGAAGCGCGAGCAGTTAAATTTTTCTCGCGTATTTGAAATCACGTAAGTAGAACATCATAGTATGTGCAGTGCCCGCCACTTCACGTGGATTAGAATTACGTGTAACATCACGGTATTGGCGGTGCCAGTCACTCACAATATGGCCTTTCTCGCCAATTTACACATTTTTCTCTCGCCACTAGACTACTGTTCCAGACTTATTGACAGTAGAGACCTCACCGTGTATGACGACTGGTCGAGGTCGGCCAACACTGGGTGAGAGAGAGAGAGAATTTCCTCGTCTTTACCTCTCCCTCTTCACTTTTTCTCCTGCAGTGAGTCCTCGTCACTCACGAAACTAGAAAACCAGCTCTCATCAGAGGTAGAGGTATGCATACATCACTAACTACAAATTATTTCCTTCTGGTATGCCACACATCTCTTCCTTCTCTCCCCCTTCCCTCTTTCCCCATTTACCCCTCCATCTTTCCCTCCCCTCCCTCCCCTCCCAGTTATTGTGGCTACGTGTCAGAGTCATGTTGGTCCAGTGCCTCAAAGACTCCGTGGTAACCATGGCAACAGCCCCGCCCTCCACCCCACAGGAAGTGGGCGGGGAAAGGGGCGGAGCTCTGGAGGCAGTTGCTGTGTTCAGTGCGAAGGTGGGAGAGTTGAACAATTGTCTGGCTCAGATGGCGCAGCATATGGGGACAATAGTCCTCCAGCAAAAGAGGGCTCACCTGGTTAGTGGGTGTGGCTATGACGTCATCATTAATTGGCACGATGGCTATAAAATCATCACTGGGTGTAGTTTTAGGAGTGGTACATGAAACTCCTACAGCATATTCATTCATGCAAGTTAGTTCCACTCGCAAGTAAGCAGTGTGCATGGAGCTTGTGGTTTGCATAATGCAGCGTAACTGAAGACCAAGATTGCCAACAAATCATTTTAACTCCCTCCCCACTCGTGCAGCTGCCACTGCAGGCAAGTCCGCCGTGTCTGGGTCTGCGGTTCCTGAGTCTCTCCTACGGCCACACCCTCCTCGTTATGTTCTCGGTGGTGGAGAGACTGGCTCTGGGTCACTGCAACGTGGCCGACCAACTGAGGGAGGTCCTCAGACTGTTCAGAAGTAAGTCTGACTCTCTGGTGGCCAGGAAACCGTGTGTATCTGCATCACTGAAGCAAAAATTATCACTGTGCGTGCGGTGCAGGTGCACGATGACTAGCAGGCAAACAAAAGTACCAATTTTCTTGATGAAAATCGATTCATAATGTTTGCATAATACGGGCGCTAGCAACTGCATATACTGTAATGTGTTACGTCATTCCAAATACGACATGCGGGAAAATGAACTGTACTCGTGTCCGCTCGCAAAAAGTGCGTGTCGCATTTGTTATAGCATACTTTGATATGCAGCCAGTATGTCAGCGATTCAAGGAATGCCAGATGACTTGAGGGAGGTCGTGACTGCAGCTGTTAGAGGGAGACCGAGAGAGAGAGAGGAGGAGGAGGAGGGAGAGGGGGAACAGGGAGGAAATGAGATGGGGGAGGAGGGGGGGAGAGAAGGGAGAGCGGCGAAGAGAGAGACTGAGGAGAGAGAGGCAGAGGTGGGGGAGAGGGAGAAAGGAGGGAGGGAGGGTCCAGAAGAGGAGGAGTCACAGTCGGAAAGAAGAAGAGAAGGGAAGAATGATAGGGTCAAACACGAGACCAAAACAGACTCAGTCAAAACTAAAGGTAGGGAGCTTCCTCGTGAAGTGTACAATTTCACAAATCTAAACGAAAATGTTTGAAAGTGGAACCTACTTATTTTTTTCTGTAGCCTCTGAAAAATCCATGTAAAATTTCAGCCCTCAAAAATTATTTTTGTCGCACCCTCAGCGGACATCCTGAACTCTGTACCAACACCACCAAAC